GAAAAGCATTCGTACAAAATCAGAATCAAGTTGTAATTAAATAAAAAACGGTAACTTAAATATAGTCATTTCTTATTTGACAGACTTACTTTGCTTTTACTTTAATTATTGTTAGATTGATCATATATATAATCAATGTTAATTCAAAGTATAACTAAATAGTTTTATTTTGAAAAAAGTAATGGTGAATTAAATAAATCAAACAATTATAACTCCGCCCACAAATAAACTGCTAAAGAATTACTTTGATTACCAGTTTTATCTTTTTACCCTGATTGATACAGTTTTATGGTGGCACATATTTGTGACAGTCGGCCCGAAAGGGTTAAAAGTGTCTGAGAATCCATACTTTATTCAATATTACGGCTGTTTATAAGAAATCATTTATGTAAAATGAAATGTAAAGTAGCGAAATGTAAAAAAAAATAATAATATTAAAATAAACTCAACGACAATATATTGACTAAATTATGAAAAGAGCATGCATTAATAAAAATTTAACTAAATATTTCTCATCGAGCTTTTCAATTTGAAATGCATAAACTAATTAAATAAATAAAATAAAAAAAGTTTATTTCTAATTATAATTCTCAACGCTTATAACGATTTTCTTTTCTTTAACACATCAAAAACATGCATCAGTTTGGTTAGTGTATTCACAGCTGCTAATGAGCAATTTTTTCAGCTGCTAATGAGCATTTTTTTTAAATGCCGGTGTTCTGTAAAAAGAAATCTCCATCTTATAGTTCAATCATAAAGGGTTCCGTAGCCGAAAAGAAATGATAACTTCTGTTTCTAAATCATGCAACGCAGAGCCTCCGTGGCCGAAATGCCAATTATTAAGTACTTCAAATCCCCCTATAAATCCAGATATATCCTCTAGATATTTGTGCTATTTGTTATTTTACTTTTCCATTTTTTTAAATTTCTGTTTTCCAAATTTCCGATTTTTTTTTTCTCCACTCAAACCCTTATAAGTATGGGAATTCTAAATAAATAGTTCTGATCCTACAATTAAATGCATATGTGGTGGTATTCAGGTGCTGAGGTTCTTTGAGGATCTCAAAACATTAATCTACCACCTTTCTTTCTTTATGTATCCGAGATTTTGGTTAAAAGATCATTTTAAAACCTAAATTCCTAAAGATTTTAATTCCAAAGATCATTTGAATTCACTCATTATTATTCTTTTACCTATATATTTAGTTGTGGGTTAATATGCTTCTACTCTATGTTGACAATTAAGTTATTGTATGTTTTATGATATTTATTTCTAAGCTCTGAAATTTATTTGGATCCACAACCAAACCCACTTTCTTTGTAAACAGTTCGAAACTTTTCTGGACTTCAGGTAACCAGAACCTTACAGGCTTTAATCCCTAGGTTTATTAACACCGAAGTCAAGTATCGCTGGCTGTGGTCAGTAAGTGGGTGGGTGATGTGACCACTATGAGAAGCCGGCGTAGGGACCGAGGGTACGCGAAATCCGTTCTCGTTAAACTGTTCTACCGTAAAGTGCTTGACTTAGCGCGCAGGTCGTCGGGCTAAAAAAGCAGGGGATCCATCTTCTCTGCAGAGGATCAAAAATTTGATGGTACGTCTTCGGATCATCCTCGGGGATGTTTCCCAGACCGTCGCCAATAGCCCCTAGTGCGACGCAAATAAAGTACCTAACTACCTCTAGGTTTTTCTTAAATACTAGGTTAAATAGAATAATAGATTGAAATAAATATAACTAAAATCTAGAGAAAAAACATCCTAAAATCTTTATTACCATAGGACATATTATCATCAATTCTAAGTATACTTATTATTAGTATATTGTTACACGTACGCATGCACGTGGTGCACATCGTTAAAAAGTGTTATTTGTAAGCTCATGGGTATCGTTGGCGGGGGAGGAAAGAGGGTACATGTCTCCTTTAATGATTAAAAATCTCTTAAATTCGCCCTCAGTATTTCAGACAAATTAACAAAATTTTCGTGTAACATTATCGTTTGAAATCCATTAAAGTTAAAAACAAGAAAGAGATTTTAAAAAAATCAGCAATAAATCACCCTTTTGCCTATATTTATCAAATAAAAGAAATTAATTTCTTATTTTAGAGAATTATTGTGACTGCGAATTTGAATTTTGTTTCCCTCAAAAAATTTATCCCTGCGACTACCGTGTGATAAGTTGAAGAGCAGATAGTACAGAAGGACATCAGAAAGATATTTGGAGTTACGGCTGGTTTCAAGACCTCAGGGAAGCCCGTTACACAGTACCTCCGCGCTTTAGAGTATTTGGCGGAACGGCGAACCCACTCGGCCTGGAAGGCTTCACGCATTTTACCTATATTTTTTAATCGTTTCTTCATAAGGTGTACATACATTGTAATATGTAATGTCTTTAATTTTGACTTTCAACTCCAAATCAGAATCCTTTGTATCAAAAATGCAACTTCATATATGTATCTAGTTTCCTAAATTGCTACAAGAATGGTATAGGCTCTTGAGTCGCAGTCAAGTCTCAAAAATACAGTAAAAATAAAAGGGGCTTAAATCGGATAATTAAAGAGAAAATTATAACCTGCGGTAAACTGTTAAGCACTCTCCTTTTACTTGAAATACCAACTTCAATTTTGCTCGATTACTAATGTTTTCTGGAATTAATGTTTTCTCAATCTATTTTTTGTCCACCAATATGTTTATTTCATTATTTTATTAGCCCCTCAGGTTCGATCCTAAAGACACGGTTTTCGAGCACCATCGAAGTCAATCATCACCTGCGATCAATATGCGGGTGAGTGTCCACTCTGATCAGCTTGTGTAGGAAACGAGGGTGCGCAATATCGATATTTGTTATACCGTCCTACTGTAAAATGCTCCACTTTGCGCTCAGGATTTTATGCTGCCTAGGCGGGGGAGGCCATCCCCTCTGCTGAAAATCAAAATTGTGATGTCATATATTTGGATCATCCTCTGGAATATTTCCTAGACCGTTGCCAATAGCTCATTGCATTGTACATCCAAAATTGGGTCGGCTGTTTAACGACGGTTATAAAATAGCTGATTACGCAGCTCTAGTTTGACCTAAATGAAGAACTATAACTACAACTCTTTTACATTATTATTATTATAATGAAATTAACGATTTTAACATATTGACTGCCTTAGACCTTTAATCTTTAAAAATTATAGAGCAATTTTTTTCCATATGAGTTGCGTTTAAAATGGTTTGCTTACATTTAGAAATAATGAGATTTGACACTATAGACTCCCTCCCTTATTGTTTCGTGTTTCGACATTGACTTTTTAATATACTTTTATATTTAACATATGATTTGATAATATTGGTGGTTCCTGTAATATCTTTTCAAAAGAAAAAGAAAAAGAATGAGAAAGGTTTTTCAGGTGTTTACAAAATTAGTCTAGAATTTGCGATCCTTTATCAGGAAAATATAGTTAACAATCTAAACTCCTTCCGCTTGGACACTGGCAGAGAAGGGGACATGGCAACAATCTCTTGACCCAATAACCGTCCGTAATCTTATTACAGATCTAAACATTTTAAAAACGAATCATAATACCATTTTCGGCCCATCCTTTTCTTATACTCCCATATATGGGAGTATAAGAAAGGGACGGAGGAAGGATCTTAAGGTACGTTCCCCAATATATCACCGAAGTCAAGGATCACTAGCTGCAGTCAGTAAGTGGGTGAGTGACCACTTTGATTAGCCTGTGAAGGAACCAAAAGTGTGCAGTATCGGCCCTCATAAAACTTTTCAACCGTAAAATGCTCAGTTTCGTGAGCAGGTTATTGAACTCCTAAAGTGGATCGGCTTAAGGGATGTTTCCCTGACTGTTGCCAATTGCCCATTGAGTAGCTCCAGTGCAACGTTAATAAAGTACAGCGACTCTGATACTAATATTTCCCCATTCTACTCATGGAGCAAGGAGTAGATGGAGGAGACACTAGCAGAAATTCGTGAAGCCGAAAACTCGGCAATGTTAACCGCGAAATTAACCGTCGGCCATCTTACTTACTTCAAAACATTGGCAGTTGTAGCTCGTTTATGCTTGAATTGTCGTATGTTCGGACAGTTATTATCATTTTTATTTTATTCGTTATTCGAGTAGTCTTACTTTGTCTTATTATTTTTTCTTGGACTTCTTATTATTTTAATTACGACTTCTTGCATCTTAAGGTTTTATGTTACTTTATAAAAATTTCAGTTGTAGTTTTATTTATTTCTGTCGAAGTTATTCATCTGAAAATTGATATTTTTTAAAACCAGAAAGTATCCCATTGCATTCCAAATATGAAATAGATAAAAAAAATTTAAATTTATTAAAAATCTAATATTATATACAAGTGATTGCATGTAATATTAGATAATCCTACCCATGATTCTACTCTGCGAACTGATTTTGAAATCCAAGTTATAAATGAAAGAAATAGAAAAATGTTTTAAAATATAAGAAAAAAGACATAAATTTGCATTTAAGTTTATTTATTTTATAATTAGTATCAAGATTTACTTTCACAAAGGCATAGAACATAGAAGTCAAGCATCGCTGGCTGTGGTCAGCAAGTGGGTGGGTGACCACTTTGATCAGGCTACGTAAGTACCGAAGGGGCGCAAAATTGGTCTTCGTTACTCTGTTCTACCATAAAATGTTCGACGTCGCACCCATGTCGTTGGGCTACCGACGCGGGGGTGCCATTCCCTTCCGCAGAAGATCAAAATCGTGATGTTATGTCTTCGGATCATCTTCAGGGATGTTTCCCAGACCATCGCCAAAAGCCCATTGTGCAGCTCTAGTGCGAGATCAATAAAGTTCTACGGCTGCTACTAATTTTTTCTTGTTTCACTTTGCGAACAGATCTTGAAATCCCAGTTATCAATGAGGACGTAGAGAAGTGTTTTATGATAAGAAAACAGAAATTTGTATTTATGTTTATTTATTTTATTATCAGTATCAAGATTTACTTTCACAAAGGCAACTTGAAACTACTCTCTGATAAATTATAAGAATAGATGAGGAAGGCGGTAACCGTGACCGCCAGTCTGATTGACAAGATGTTTTGATGTTTATAATTCCTGTCGTGATCTATGATTGAAAATATTTTTGCCGTCCTTTGTGCTCCATTTATGGCTGTTATTTGTTATATTTTAATACAAAATGCATTTTTCCATTCCAGATACGTTGGAAGTTAAGAATGACAGCAGTTCATCTTATATAGTAGGATATTATTTTCACCTTGACCTAATATAACCAACTTTTTTTCTTCTTCCTCTAGATCTTTAACTCTTTAAACATATTTTTATAAAATTTCAAAAGTAATTATTATTTGATTGTGCATGTAATCTAGTTTCTATTTATGCTTTTTAATCTTGTAAACATTTGCCTCGATCGTCATTGTATTATTTGTTTTGTATATGCCCTTTTTTGATGTATTTCCTCCTATAATATCCCGTTCTAATTTCATTTTTTATCATCAAAAATACTACTGTGAGGTATTATTTCTTCTCAATTATGTCAAAGCAGGAAATATGTATGACTGCTCTAAGCTTTTTTTTTTATTGAAAGTTTTATTAAGAGAAATTCGTTTTTAAAGCCCATCTATAATATATATATATTTTATAAATATTTTTCCCATTGAAAGTTAATGACTTAAAAGCCGAAGTATTCAATTATGTATTATCTATCGAAATTTCTGATTATTTATTGTATTTTACAATATGCTTTACTTAAAAGACTGTTTTTTTCTAATAGTTTTTTTTTTCGCGCAAAAATTATGTGACATTTGAGTTGAATTCTTTGTTTATAATATGGGTGTCATTTTCATATATATATGTTTACAATAAAATGATTTTGAAAAATCAGTTTTAGACATCGTTTTTTTTATTGTATTTTTAATCTGATGTATTTTTTTTTCTTCAGGCATACAATGTGCATGTAAATGGGGCCTTTCACTGCACTGTGAGATATCGACAGCTGTATAATTTATATGATCAGTTGCGAAGGGAATTCGGACCAAATACTCTTCCTCCCTTTCCCCCTAAAAAGTTTCTTCCACTCACACCAGCACAAGTCGAAGAACGGCGAGTAAATTTAGAGAAGTTCATACAATTAGGTAAGCTGTGAATTTTGGACATTCGTATATATCGTTGTACCTCGAGATTTATCAAAATTCTAAAACTTTTAATATGGATTTTAGTGCTAATTCTCCTTAGAAAATATCAATAAAGATTGGACTGGGGAGAAAAATATAGTGTGTACATTTGGCTTTAAAATTAAGAACTGCAGTAGTTAAATAATTTTGCTAGTCGCTTTTGGAGATCTGCTTATCACTCCTTGATTTGCGGCTCCTCATTACATTTTTTGGTATTTTAGTAATGTATGGAAAATTTAAAGGATCAATAATAATAAATAAAAAAAAATGGTGAATTAAAATTTTAACTTTATCTCATAGTTTTGAATCATCATCCGACAGTTTTCAAAATTGAAGGGCATTAGCTTGTGGCTAAATTCTGTTCTGAAATATATATGGGTAGGCTGAATTTATAAAAAATGATTTTAAAAAAATTTTGAGACCAAAATCTTTTCGAAACTTTTCTAGTTAAAATAATTTTGGTTTTTTTAAAGTTAACTAAATCGAGTGTTAGTTTTTTTCATTTACCTTTCTGAATTTAAAATAAATCTTTAAAAGTATATATATNTCAGATATCCGGAATAGCGATGGTCCCGATCGTTCCGGATAATCGATTCCCTACTGTATATACATACTATTACTACTAGGTTTTACTGGATTTGTATAAATGTTTGAATAAATATTATATAGTAATTTTGCTTTTAATTTATTAATATTTGCACTTTATTTTTAGTTTGGTTAATCAATTTTCTTATTCTTTAAAGTAATGATCATATATTGCATAATGTTCTTTTATCAAGTATGTTTTATTTTTAGTTTTTACAAAATGAATTATCAATGTGTGTTATTATTTGTGTATCCCATAACTGTCAGTTATTGCTTTAACCATCTGAGCATTGGTTGTGGTTTTTCTCTAACTTTAAACCCTGGGTTTTCCTGTAAGTAGAACATATTTTTCTCATGTTCTTGAATGAAAAATTGTGCATGGTTGGGAAATTTTAGTAAATTTTGTCCATGAGGCACAACACTTCGAAGATCAAGGAAAGATTGCTTTTAAAAAATCTAACATGCTAAATTTGTAAAATATATTTATTTCGCAATATTCTAATGAAATTATCTAATTTGGAGTCAGTAAATAAAGGACTTGTATTCTTGCAAATGGATGTGCCCCCCATGTCAGATAATATTAAAAGTATATATCAGGGGAAAAAATATCAATATTAGCTGTCTTGTTGGACTAATATTTTGTTTTTTTAGAAATGATCTAGTTTAACTAAAATGTTTAACGAAGATTATTGAGAGAAGATTTTTTCTAATAAATTATTTGGGTTTTTTTTTTTGAAAAAAAAAATTTAAATTAGATTTTTTGAAAATGAAGCAAAATTTTGTATGTCTTAACAATTCATAATTTTTTTTGTATAATTAAATAAAATAATAAATATTTACCTAAAATTATTTTTGCCCTGAATTGTCTTTGGATAAATGAATTTCATGCAAACAAATTGTGTGCTAAAATTTTCATTTTGCTTCACAAGCTCTTGAGATATAGAGGAATACGCTAAAAGTAAAATTAGCATTAAGAGGTCAAAACTTTGGATTGACCTTCTTTTTCAGTTTGGTCAAATATATGGAGACCATATCTCCCGTATTTAGGCTACACGCTATATTTTGAGGGTCAGAAATCCAAATTCCTCAACAACAAAAAAAAAGGTATGTTTATTCAGGAAAAGCATATTTTTGTGTCTGATTTTCGTACTTAAAATATCGTCTGCGCTTATTAAGTAGCATATTTGAGGAATTCTTTTCGAGCCATTACGATTCAGTCCTAGAACATGAAGATCTGATCATTNTTTTCCTATTCTTTAAAGTAATGATCATATATTGCATAATGTTCTTTTATCAAGTATGTTTTATTTTTAGTTTTTACAAAATGAATTATCAATGTGTGTTATTATTTGTGTATCCCATAACTGTCAGATTCAGTCCTAGAACGTGAAGATCTGATCATTGGATGAAAAGTTATTTCGGTGGCCCCCCTTTTTTTAAACTTTGTACATTAAGGTTTTTTTTTTTCGACAAATCAAAATGATCCCTAACATTTAATAAATGATACAAATGTATAATTTTTATTTAATTTTTTTGTATTTCAAATTCAAAACTTAGCACAATACATTTGTTTTTCAGTTAGCCAAAATGCAACTGTTGCAAACAGTGACATATTCATGGGCTTCCTGCTCTCAGCTCAGCAAGAAACACAAAATGCTGTGGATGAAATTATTTCACTTGATGTTCACCTAATGAATTGGCAAAAAGTTACTGTCAGAATATCTTCCTTAGCTCGTACATCAACAGTGATGGAAGTTAGTACTTGTATCCACATCTTTTTCATATCCAGTTGTTGCATTATGATCATTCTCTGATTTTTTTTTATAATTTGTATTTATTGAATTATAATCAGAGTTTTTCCTAGGAATAAAAAAGAGCAGGGTGTTTCCTTTCTGAAAAAGGCACTTAGAGCTTTGAAAAGGCTGTCATTTGACATAGTAAAAATGTATCAAAATTAATAATAACTGAATTCGATCTTCAACAATTTTTAAATTACTGTTTGAGGGCGGGACAGCCTGGTTGGTAGGGCGCTGGGCCCATGTCCTAGAGGACCAAAGACTCCCCGTGTAGTAAATGGTGACTGATGCACTTTAAATTTGTCGAGTCACAAAGTCCTCCATGTTCCCTTAACAATTCAAACCTCTGGGGGTACTGATCCAGGAGTTTCCTTGTCTTCTGGATTAGGATCAAAATTACAAGGATACGGAGTTGAACATTGATAGTCGTAAAAACAAGATTGGTTGAACTGTTTAACGACAGATGTAAAATAAGATACAAAACTACGAAATTCAAATAAATGATTTTGATTAACAGGATTCTTTTACAGGACGTCTACAATACTACAAACTTTTCACTTTTTTTTAGCTTGTCTAATAGAGAAATAAAAAATTACTGATATAAAATAAGTTACCGTCTTATACTATTTTTTATGTATATTTAAAAAAAGTAATTTTCACTCGTTTTCTAAATAAAAGAAAAATTTGTAGTTCATACAAACAATTAAAGGCACATTAAAGGGCAATCTTTGTGTATATATTTTTTTCAAAGGTGCTAAAATAATCAAAAGACTTCAAATCTGTTTTTTTTTCCTTCTATAATATAAGCTGAAACTTATGAGAAAATGAACATTTAAAGATGATTTTATAAATATTTAATAAAAAAATAGTTTAAAAATCATTTTAAAATTTAATTTCCCCCCCACAAAAACAAAACAATTATAAACATTTTTAATTTAAACAAAGTACAGATAATTTTACCAGTGTCTAATTATTATTCAAACAAAGAATTAATTTTTTCAAAATGGAATATGAATAAAAGGACAGTGTTTTTAAGGGATGGTGGCTTGGTTTTACAAAGGGCATCAAAATGCGAGCACGGTGGGCCGCCTATCAAAAAACGTATAGGGAGAAAACTGCTTCTATCCACATCTTTTTCATATAGGTTGTTGCATTAGGATCATTCTCTGATTTAGTCTCTTTTATAATTTGTATTTATTGCATTATAAGTAGAGTACACGCCAGTAAGGCGTCATGATGATAATTGTCTCCAAATGTTCTACAAATGTCGCTAAAATCATACTCATGGGCGACAAATTTCTTTCTTTCAAATATGTTTGGATGTTACACTATAATAAATGAAGAATAGTTTATTTTTCATCAAATTCCATGCACTTAGAAAAATTTGCTGTACTTATTTTATTGTTCTACCCTTGGTATGGAATTCAAATGCCTGATTTTCAAATAGAATAACTGAAAGTGTCTGGTACAAAATTTTTTTTATTTAAATGTTGAAGTTTCAAATTTACTTGTGCTATGCTTTGCATTCATGTACTTACAGCATAATTGTCTTTCAGTAAAATAATATTTTTTGCTCTTTTAGAAAATTTATTTTTAATACAATATTTTGTTAGTGTTTACTTTCTTTGTTTTCCTCATTTATTTGTTTATTTGGTATCAGATTTTTATTTTCTATGTTGAATCTATTCACTGAAATTATTTTGGCCTTTTTTCACTTAATTTTATTACCTACTATCACTATGGGGTAAAGAACCTTATTAGTTTTAGAGCATTATAGATGACAACTAATAGTTTTTGATTCGTACCTTAATATTATGTATTAATTGTAAAATTTGAATTTTTTTTCTTTTTTAGTTTGTCTATCATATTATGTTTTTAAACCACTTAATGACAATCTAGGTGGTCCTTTTAGACCACTAAATTTTCATTGTTGTTGTAAACCCTAATTATAACTTATAAATATTTACCTAAATTTTAGATTAAAACTATTGTTAATTTTAAATAGAATGTTTTTTTTTTAAATTTGTGCCATTTATTAATCTTCTTAACTATTTAAAAACATAAAGATCATCATTGGCATGTCAGTCTGGGGTGAGCCTTGATCCTCTCTAGAACATTCCTCTTTGCTGGCACTGCCCACTTTGTTGCTAGTTCAATACCCTTATAGTTTTAAAAAAATTGCATTTATTTAGTCCAGCAATCAAAGTTTCTATGCCTTCTAGCTCTACTACCAATTTGTTTGTTTTGAATATCTTATGTGTTACGCTAGTTCTATCTTAATAAATGCTTCTCTCAATTCGATAAAAGAAATGAAAAGTAAAGCATCATATGTTTTGCACATCTGAAAGTACAAAGCTCTTGTAACATGTGTTTAATTCATTTACAAAATTAAGTTTTGATTAGTTTTTTTTAAAACTTTTGTATTTATGTATGTTATTTTTTTTTATATGTTATTTATTTATTTTTAATTACAGGTAGTCAGCAAATCCTTAAAATTAGAAGAAAAGTATATGGTGTACTTTAGCATATTTCTAATTAGTAAAAGCAACAATGAATTGTCAGGTATGAACAATAAATTGTAGCTCAATTTTAGCTAAAAAAAATTTTTTTTTACTTTAAACATTTTTTTTCTCCAACATGTGATGAAAAGAAAAAAATATATACATATCAAATTTAAATTATGTGTGATCCTAATATTGAAGAAATGTTCTCGTCTTTCCTTTCTTTTTAATTTTATATTTTTTTTTTATCATTTAGAATATTTTTATATTGCTTTAAAATTAGTGTGTTTTTCTAATTAAAACATTCTAATTTTGCTCTAATGTAACAAAAATTGTGTTGTAAATTTGAGCATATAAAAATTATATAAAATATGCTTTATATTCATACAAATAATTTTACAGTGGAAAGACGTTTACAAGATTTTGAATCAGCTTATCTTTCTTTAAAATCTGCTGGCAATGACCATTTCTTAGTTATTCGTAAAAGGTAATTGTATTTATCATTATATATTTTGTGTTACTTGTTTGTCTAATAAATTAAATAATGTATAGTTGTATGTAAATTTGTTTTTCAAACTTGTAAAACGATAAGGGCCTACTTTAACTGTGCCAGTGATCATTCCTTTGTATCGCAATATATAAGTTTTTAACTAATTTTAATAATACTATGCATTTAGCAGATGATTTAAAAGTCATGAAAAGATATTTTGCTTTCGGAGACAACCTTTTAAAAAATGTGCTGCAAAGTCATTAGTTTGCTCTAATACAGTCGAACCCCGCTATAGCGAGCACTCAGGTGTAGTGAACTTTTTTAGTGGTCCTGTCCGTACTTCTATTTAAATAATATTATTTTTAGCGCTTTTAGTGAACAGCTGAGCACTTGGAAATTCGACTATAGGGGACTCAAATTTCATTTCTCTAAAAATCTTTTTCAGTCCTCCATCTTTAAATTTGCAGGTGTTGGGACTGAAAATGAATGCATTTCTATACAATGTGTCATATTTCACTCCTTTATGCTTATCACTTTTAACTATACTGTAATAAATGTTAAGCAGAGCATTTATCTTATACTCCCTTACTGAAAAGCCTCTCTTTGTCCCTTTTCCCCATGCTTGCTCTATTTCAATATTAATCTAGCTAATTTTTTTTTTGGTGAATATACTTTTATAAATAACTTATGTTTATTTCTAAAAAATACACCTGATAACTTTTTTAAATTGTAGTTTAACTACTTATAATTTTGAATTAATTTTTTACATAATTAAATAAACTAATTATTAATTTTAAAGTTGAATGAGTTTCATTTTCTCAATATGAAAGATATTTAAAATTGTGCATTAATTGTTATTGTGGTGGTTAATATGATCAAGAAAAGAGAATTTTGTCAGAAACTACTTATTTTGTTATGATCATGTAAAGTCTTTGAAAATGTTTTTCATTTTGTTGATAAAAAAAAACTTTCAACAAAAGGAAGAACAAATCTTTATTAGTGCACATATCCAATTTATAATTGTGATATTTTTTTTATTTTGCTTATTTTTTGTTGAAAAATTTGACTGCACATCCTAATAATGTAAGGTTGTAATTTAAATGATTTAAACTTTTATGAATAGAAACATCAATTCTTGTAAACTGTGGTTATTTTAATGAAATTTATGGTAATAAATAGAATCTTTTGATAGTATAAATCAAATTTATTAAAAATACTTTCATGGTCATTATTTTTTGAACTTTTCTTTATAAATTTATAATCTGAAGCAATAATTTGCAATATCAAAAATGAATTTAAAGATCCTCATGGTTTCAATTTATTTTGGAATTCAAAACATTTATTAAAAGTGAAGTTTAGTCTATAACTTATCTTGTCCAAAAAATTAAATAAACCAATTATGTATTGTTTGAATTCTTTTGTGCATGTATTAAAATACATTTAATGTTTGAGTGTAGCCTTTTTGATTTTATTAAAGTAAAATTCTATGTTTATTAAACAAATAAGTTTTACATTAAACAGAATTTTGTTTTATTATCATATTTAGTTAAAAATCTGTAAAATTTGATTTTCTATTTAATTAAAGATTAACTAAGCATACCAAAATTAAAGTAAATATTTAATTTTTGTAAAAAGTTCTATTTTCTGTTTGAGGAAAATTTAGACATTTTCAGTTTACAAACTGAAAATTACTATTACTTTGAGAAGAATTAAATATTAAAATAAAATTTGGATTGAGGGTAATAATAAAAATAATCTTTCGGCCAATTCTTGACGTTGTAACAAACCCAATAATTCACTTTTAATTTTACGGTTTGAGTGCTAAAAAATTTGAAAACAACTGGAGTATGTTAAAACATACAAATAGGGTGAATAGATTTTTAAACATCCAGTATAAAAATCAACTAACTTGTAAACCATTTTTTTTAAAACTGATCCTTTATTTTACTACCAAGTCCCTTTTTCCTGCCTTTCAAATTATATGTTTTATTTTCTTATTTAAATGGAAAACTCAGTTGATAATTCATACTTTTAAGGTTGATAATAATTTAAAAATATGCTATTAAGTCATACTGATAAATATGTGTTACTTAAATATTTAAGCTAACTAAAAATACTCCTTATAGTTATTGGGACTCTTCATATGATGATGAACTCATAGATGATAAAATATGCCTCAATCTTTTATATTTGCAAGCTGTGAGTGATGTTGAACGAGGTTGGACAAAAACAGATAGCGAGTCTAGACGTAAATTAGTAGCTTTGCAAGCAAGAGGTTCAAAGAAAGAGGTATTTTTTTTATTGCTAATCTGTATTTTTAATTAAAATAACAGAAATTATCAGATGTTATTTTGATTTATATAGGAGTAGTTTAACCTGGCATTAGTCTGTTAACATGTCTCTATTAGATTTTTTTTTAAGTTTGTAAAGTGAATTTTAGTAGAAAATTACAATGCAAAGAATATAAAAAGTTCTCAATTATAATGATTTAGGCCATTTTGTGACAATAACACAAACAACAAATTAAAAACAGCATACCATCCTTGAATTTGACTGCTTGTACCGGGGACCTTTAATTTATTTTATGTCAAATTTTAGCTTAAGTTAAGATTTAGTGGTCTTGGACCAATAGACCACTGTTAATTTTGAGCTCTGATTCAATGTATTTCCTTTGTAATGATTTAATGAGGTGTCTAATGATTTTTGAATGAATGATCTTTGTCTAATGATTTAATTATTAATTTTTGTTTCTGATTTAAAGTCTTGAATTATTTAGATTTAATGTATTTTATTATTTTTTTTCACACATTTAGAAAGTTATGCTCAATTTTATTTGTATGAGGAAATACTAAATATTTTTAAATTAATTTTAAATAATTTTATTTTTGTCAGACCTAAAATGGAAGATGTCTAGTGCATTACTTTTAAAAGACTTGGTGAGAATTTCCAGTGGATATAGAAGTTTTTTACATTATCCAGTTTTTAATATACTCCTTGAAAAAACATAATTTTTTTTAATTATTTAGTTTTTTTAAAAAACAAAATGTTTAAACTTTTATTTTAAATCAACATTTTCCTGTTTAGTTTAGTATATATTTGATTACGTAGAAAATCAGACAAAATTTTGATTGTTGATTAAACTCTTATAAATTTTGCTTGTGTATGTTTTTTTTTTAAACTTTAAAAATTAATCAATAACTGTTATTGGTTTTGTAAACATTTTTTAATAATTATTTTTAACAGTATCTTCAGCTTGCCAAGACAATGAAGTATTATGGTAACATTAGATTTCGTCGCTGTGTTTGTGATTATCCCCAACCAAGCTCTCAAGTTACTGTGAGTGCTGGTGGAAGAGATTTAATTTTCCTTTTAGATGCTGATCCAGTAAGTTTTTTAATTATTTTAAAATATCTTTTGTATGAATTATATACTTAACTTAAATAAAAGAAATTTTGTACAAATTTACTGGTTTGATATGTTCTTAATGATAACTAAACACAGGATTAATGAATCAGTATAGGTTTATGAATCAGTCTAGTGAATGAAAGTAATCTAATAATCTCTAAATAATTTTATGCATGGTTGATTGTGTAAAACTAAGCTCAAATGGCGCTGGGGGATCAAAATTCGCCATAAAACTTATAGGTTACTATTTTCGACTATTCTTCACACATAAGTTTGAAATTAACGTGCCATCCGATTTTATTTTACTTGTAAACTTTTCAAGATAGCAAGTTTTTTCAATTTAACTTTTGACGAAACAAGCAACAAAGGAATTCAGAAGACTATGCAAGCTTGCTACGGTGCTACCCAAAAAATAACAAATCGTGCTATTTCATATAAATATAGCCAAATAAGCAATAATGCTCAAAACATTGTAAACTTAACACTTTATTTATGCTGAGATATTGATTTTGTTAACTTTGTTTTAAGCTCGTGACCTGTTAGAACTTATAAATTACTGAAAAGTTGTATGAATGGTAAAATTAAGGGCAAATTTAAACACAAATCACAATAATAGAACTTCCGGAATTTTAAGCCTGTTCATGCATCGTTTCATAAGCATAATATAAGCACAGGGATATACCGAAAGTTTTCACAATTTCCTTCTGGTTTTAGGAAGGTTGTTATTGTTTACATTCAGTCAACCATTCTTGCAAAATAAAATTATTTAACATTAAATAAAAGAAATTCTGACACCTATGTAATTTTTAGTTGCATTATCTAAACTGATGTTAATTCCTCATCCTAAAGTTTTTTTCTTACATATTAAAATTTTTTTTTATTGAGAACTGTCACAATTTGCTTAAGTGTTTTGATGTTTATTATTAGGTAGTTAAACGAATTTTAAAGCAATGTTATTAAATTCAATTGCTGTGCTTTAGTAAAAACTTAAATGTAATGCATTAAACATTTGCTTATCTTATAGCAAAATTTACTTTGCCTTCACAATTGTTTTTGTTTTAAAATCGAAATATCTTTTGTTTTCTTAATAAAATGAAAACTTAGCTAAGCAAAAATGTTCTGTGAATGTAAGTATGGACCATCAAGCTAAACAATTTATTTGTGATCTTTGCATTCATTAGCAGAATATTAACTTAATTGTAATGTTAAATAAATTAATTTATTATTTTTAAAACAAATCAGTAATATAAAATTTAACACAATTTGCCACTAATATGTTTGCTTATGCATAAAATACTTATTTGGCTTTTCAATTTCAGGCATCTGAAAATAAAGCCTGTTTTAGGGTTACAAGAATAAAATGCTGGAGAATAACTACATCTGTAAGTAAAATAATACTTATCAAGACTTTTTTTCTTAAGTTAATATTTAGTGTATTGTTTTGTTCAAGCTTAAAAGTAAAGCAAATGTTTATTATATAGTTTTAAATTTATGTACAGCATATCTTTTTATTTTTATGAAGGAGTAAATATTTCAAACTCATTCTGCTTTCTTTTTTTATTTCTTCCTTTTTCTAGCTATCTGATTCTGAAGATACTAAATCATTACCAGTGAAATTAAAACTTGAGTTATCTTTTGAATATCTTATGAGTAAAGATAGCTTAAGATGGATCTGCATCAACAGTGACCAGGTAATTATAAAGAATTTATATGCCTTGATTATTCAGATATATTTTGTTTAAAGTTGAGCCTGTAAAAATACAATTTAACAAATTGTTAGCTAAAAGTACGTTGCAGGGGGATATATTGCTTTTTTTTATATGTTTTGTTTTTTTTTCCTCAAAATTGACACCAGAAACCTAAATTGTGCTTATGTTGATTAAGTTACCTTTTTTAAAATATGTATAAATCGATAAATCTATTTATCTCTATATATGTTTAGTATATATGTTATATCTTCTAGCACCATTTGCATGGTGTGTACTGTTTTTTAAAAAATGCTTAAAGGTGCTTATTTTCGTTTTTTAAGAGCCCTAAGGGCTCTTAAAAAAGTGCTTTTTTCATTGGATGTGTTAAAAAAGAGCTGCATTTTCTTTTTTTGAAAAAGAGATTTATTTCTTTACCATGTTAACTTTCGTATTATGCAAAAGAGTGCTTTTCACATCGTTCTATTCAGCGTTTTCACAATTCATTTAACCGCAATCCATTTCCTCGTATCGTCCGTCCATAACATATGAAAGCGCCAAATGTTTGATGAAATACTTGCGAGTCCACTTGTGCCTCTACTGAGCTGGGTTCGGTGAGATTATTGCACTTTCATGCAAGATATTCTCAATTTCAGCTTCATTTTCCACCCTCTGATATCAAACCGAAAAATCTCTTGATCATTTTATAATGGCTAATTAATCAAGTAAAGAGTTCTTTGTCTGAAACTAGTTATTTTTATCATAATCATGTAAGGTCTTCAAAAGTTATTTTGCAATTTGTCACTGTATACAGTGCTTAAAAAGTAATTAAAAGGTGCTTATTTTTTGTTGAATGATTTGGCTATGCACCCTGATTTGTTATTTCTTTATGTTCATATCGAGCACATTTGTTTTATTTTTCACAGCCTTTATTGCCCATCCTTATAATCATATTTTGTCCACTATTGTCTAGGTGACAAACAAATTTGCTAAAGACAATCAAACTTCTTGTGCTGTAGGAAAACTGTGGTCCAGCCTCACTCTTGATCCCATTCCCATGAACCTGTCCTGTCAGATTTTCTTTGCAAATTTCGAATTGTTAATGGATATGACTATTGTCTGAATCACTTCCCCGTAGGCATTTCTGACTCGCCCTGTCTGTCCTATGAACATAAGAGTTTGCTCATCACTGAGTAATATTACTAATTCTTCGATCATTGACAGCTTTCACATGAAGGCTACTTTGTACTGGGTTGCTAAACAGAAAATGGGAGATATGGCCTTCTCCTTGATGTGGAATAAATAAAAAAACATTTGTATTTATTTTGTTCTTATGAGAACTGTTTTTTTCCCCTGAATAAATTGACATCATTTTTTTTTCATGTAGCAGAGTGGGAGAACTCATCCAAGTTTTTAATTCTAGCCGAAACTTATTGTCTATTGTAAAAGTTTTGTTTCCTTAAAGAAATTAATATATGTGTACAGTGCTTGACGAAAGGACCACCCTGAATGACTTGATCTAATGATCGGATTTTCAAATTCTAGGATTCAATCTTAATTGCTCTAGGAGATGACCTCAAATATGCTAATTAAAAAGTGCAGACGAAGTTACAAAATCAGACACAAAAACTACTTTCTCTGAATAATCTTGTGAATATGGTCCTAATTGTTTGGACAGGAGAGCGCTCCAAAGTTTGAACCCCTTAATGTTAATTTTACTTTTTGCATATTTTGTTTTTCTTGAGAACATTGTAAGAAAATTGAACATTTTATGCACCTAATTATAAAATTCCTTTATCCAAAGATAATCCCATGCAAAAAATGGCTTATTTTTTTACTATTTTATTTAATAATGTCCGACAAAAGTTTTAAACTATAGGGTATAAAATTTTTATAAGAATGTAGTTTTAGAAAGCAAAATACAAAATTTAAGCAAAATCGGTTGAATAGTACCGGAGTAATCAATTTTTAAGTATCTGATATATTCAAAATTACTTTGATTTTATTAAATAAATTAATAAACAATAATAATAAGTATTTAATTAAAGTTATTTTTTGCATGGAATTATCTTTGGATAAAAAAATTTTATAATTGTCTGCAAAAACTTTTCATTTGCGAAATAGCCAAAATGCAAAATTAACAATGCAGGATCCAAGCTTTGAAGCTCTTTCCTGACTAAACTATTGGGATCACATTTCCCAGAATGGGGGCTACATATTTTAGGGATTAAAAATCCGAATCCGAAATTATGGTATGTTGTATGTNAGTTCTGAACAATACTGGTAAATAGGGAATCTAGATAACGGGGCAAATGTTGAAAATAATGAAAGATCCAGGAAGAAAAGTGAAATGGATTTTATTCTAATTGGCGTAATTCGAAGCTTTTTCCAAAATGGGAGAAATTCGCGAATTTTGAAATTGATTTATAGAATGCGCGAATTTCTCGCGGTAATCATTTTTAAATGCGAGAAAAGAAAAAAATATGCGAGATTCTCGCGTTCTCGCGCTGTAGTGAAAACACTGATACAGGATCCAAGCTTTGAAGCTCTTTCCTGACTAAACTATTGGGATCACATTTCCCAGAATGGGGGCTACCTATTTTAGGGATTAAAAATCTGAATCCGAAATTATGGTATGTTGTATGTTTGTTCAGAGAAAGTATGTTTTGTGCGTCTGATTTTGAACTTAAGATATCGGCTGTACTTATTCATTAGCATATTTGAGGTCACCTTCTCGAGCTATGAAGAATGTATCCTAGAATGTGAAAATCAGATTATTAGATTGAAAGTTATTGTAGTCTGTTTTTTTGGCACAGTGTACATAAATTTTGATAAAATTGTAAAAAATATTGGGTAGTCTAATAATTTTGTTCAAACTGCCAAATATTTAAATAATTCTTTTCTTTTAAAATTGATATCAAAAATTTCAATTGTACTTAAGCAGGCAGTTTGACAGTAACAATTCAGACAATAATATTAGTGAAATAAAACATCTAGTTTTTTATAATTATTTTTATCTTTTTTTAGGCTATCATGATGAGCATGTGTTTACAAGGTATGGTTGACGAGCTTTTGTCCAAAAGGAATGGTATTAAAGTAGAGGAAAAAAGTGATAGGTCTGGAAGAAGAGGGTCTTGGAACTACATGAAGAGAGATGGTAGTAGTCATCAAATATCTTCATCTGTTGGTCGTTCAGTCTCGACGGATGGCATTGTCCATTGCACAAATGTAAGATTATGTTCCTACTTATGCATATTTACCCTTTGAAACATTGAGTATTAAAATTGATCACTTTAAATATTATTTTACCATAAAAACTTTTTCTTTAGATAAAAGAATGTTTTGGCAAAGGAAAAGCAAATTGTTTTTTTTGCTTATTAAAAGTTTTTTTTTTTTTAAATTATATTTAAAATATTATGTCAGCTTGTGTGTTTCTTCTCACTAGTCAACACTGGAATTGCATCAAGAATTTAATCAGTTTCTCTTTATGCAAATAATCATATTGAATATGAAAGCAACAATGGAAATTTTTGATTCCCTATAGTGTTAAAGCATTCGGTCTATGTTAATGACTATTAAAGTTTTATACATCCCTCCAATGAAAAAAAAACATAAAATTTCTTTTTAATTGATTTGAGGAAAAGTGACCTGACAGCCATTTTTATTACATTGCTAATTCTATCAAGGCCATAATAGAATTTCGGGAAACTTATCAAATAATTTATTTATAATTTTTTTATGTATTTATTTTTTTGCAATATGGAGCTTAACATACAAAAATATCAATTATATAAAATTCTAAGTTTTTCATTTTTCGTCACTTGCGTTAATTTTTCTATTGTGTTTTCTAACTAAATTTACCAAAAAGTCTGGGTAAGTTAAGAAATTTTTGTTTTAAGTACCAAATACAAAAAAAAAAAAAAAAACAATAATTGGATTTAAAAAATGTTTTATTTTCAACATCACATATAGAGATATCTTTTAATGTATTTTATGTTTAATAAGTCATATCTAAAATTGTTATTAAATTTTTGCTGTTGCTTGCTAGATTAATAAATTCAGTCTGGAAAAATTTGGGAGTTTTTTTCATAAATATTTGTGATCATGGTCATCCTGAAAAATGTAGCATGATACAATCTATTTGGACCTCTACATAAGATTAAATTGCCAAAATATTTAGAAATGAATTAAAAATTTGTTCAGGTTTAAAGGAAAAAAATTCAAGAATTTATCAATATCGTTTTGTATCATAAATTAAGTTTAAGACTTCAGCATGTAAAAGTAAAAGTTTTTATGTCTAAAAATAATTAAAAATTTTCATTGTCTGTTCATTTTATAAAACTTACTTTGTAATCTGCAGATTCTAAACATATATTGCTTTTAGAAATAAAATAAACTAGAACAAAGCACTTTTCTATAAAATTGGTATTAAATTACTCTATGTCAATACTTAAAAATGATTCAATCATTGCTTACATCAAATCATTTTGATATTAAATCATTATTTTCTAGAACGTATTTTTGCATTACTCTTCACTAAGTTTGCCTACATAAGTTTTACTAAAATCTAAAAATATAATTCTTGTACAAAAATAGCATGGGTTTGAGTAATTTTTATAAGTACTAAGACTTTTTATTTGTGCATAATTGCTAAACTTTGACCAGTTTTCCAAGTAAATTGCATTGTCCTTTTCTAAACCTTTTTATAAGTTTCTTTGGCTAAAATACTTCAAAGTATCTTTAAATATCAAATTATTCGTGGAATATTAATTTGTTCATGGATTTGGGGCATGCACTCTGGTCAGTTCATTAATTATTTTACTCACAATTCCTACATTTTTTTAAATAAATTCTGTCTAATTTATTTTAATCCAAATGCTTGGTATTTTTTTTTCATATATTGATTTTTAAGTTTTCTTTTTCATCTTCTTGCTCCAAATAACAATTTATAGAATGATTAAATATTTTTCTTTGAAAATATGGAAGTACTATTGAACTTGAACCAAGTATTAGGGTGTTTAGTTACCGTATATTCCGGCGCATAACGCGCCCCGGCGTATAACGTGCACCCGCAATTTCCAATAACTTTTTTTAAATTTTAAGATATACTCTTCGTATAACGCAATAACGAAAATCAATAAAGTATATAGGTAAAGGTATGTCATTTCTTTAAAATAAAAGTATTTTTCTATATTTAAATTTTTTTAATCTATAATTTTTTATAATCGGCGTAACCGTGCACCCGAAAATTCCGATGTTACTTTTTGTATTAAACGCCTTGCAATATTCGAATTAACATTGTATTTCTTCCTTTTTAATAACCGTGTCTTAAAGTTTTAATTATTATCTATGCCTGAAGTTTTATTTATTTGATGTTACATAATTTTCTATAAATTATTTATTTTTTTCAGAGAGATGATACGAACAATATAATTGGCCGCTCTAAAGATCAGGTTCGAAAAATTACTGTGAGTAATGAATTTCTTTTTTATTCTTAAAATCGTTTTGTATTTGTCAATTAAAAATTAATTCTGTATGTACTTATAAATTTGTTTATTATAAAATCTTTATTAATTATGTTAGTGCTACAGTGTGCATTGTATCATGTTTTTATAACTACTGTTAGACCAGTATTTAAAAAAGAATTCAAGAAACCAAAAAACGAGCTTTTTTTAACTACAGTCACTTACTAAAATACAAATTTATGGTTAGTGAAAAGTATTTTACCATAAAAACAGGACTTACTGAAATGCTTTGAATTATTCTTGATCTTAGGTTGATTGTTTAGCTTTTTCAAAATTTTGGATTTGTTGTAAAACGATATGTACATAAAATATTTCGTTACATGTTGTAAAAAAACAAAGGTTTTGTTTCTTATCTTTCATGTTTCGAAATATAAGAAGTTGTGTGCTTATATTTCATGTTGCGAAAGTGAAACAAATAACTGTCTGTGTCTGGTTTAAAGAGTGTCCTTCCTAGGGAAGGAATATATTATAATATTTTAATTGAATATTGCAAATGATTTTGAACGTGGTCCATAATATAAAGTGTATACCCTGGATTAATGTTAGAAAGATTATGTTTTAATGTTAAGGCANAAAAAAAAATAGAAAATAATGTTGAAATTTGAAAAAAAATCGTTTTACAGAGGTTTACTGCTTCAGAGAATATCGTTATATTGAGAGGAAGATAACATTAATCCATATGCAAGTTTGGCGGGACCACGGAACATTATCGTAATAGAGGGAGTTATTGTTGTATCGGATATCGTAGTAGCGAGAGTTCACTGTATATAAAATAATTAAATATATTTTTATTTTAAAAAAAGGAAGAAGAAAAAACAACGAATTGCACACAAGGGAACAAAAGTTTTGGATGATTTAAAAAATTAATTTTTCTGATATTTAAATATTGTACTGTATTTATTGTATTGTATTTAAATAAAAACTTTTGATATATTTTGATTCATCAAAATATATGTTTTCAGTTTGAACTGCAAAAAACGTATATGTACAGTATTGTATTTATATTAGTTACTTATTTATGTTTTAATGTAGAATTGCCTTCTTGTGGGCTCTCTTAGTTTTGCTTTTCATTTTATTTGCTACAGAGACAATTTTTTAATGATTATGCAATTTTTTACAGTTATTAAATATGCTGTTAATTGTAAACTAATGCTTTTAGTTCTTATTCAATTTCCTTATTTTTAAATTTAAAAATGTTTACAAAATCATGATGCAAATTCTCCATCTTAATCTTTTCATTTTAGGGAAAATTTTCGTCTAAACATGGAATAAAGAATGGTCCATCCTCTCCTAAGCCATTAGTTGAAAATGATGCATTTGAGGGAATTGGTGATGATGATTTATAAGACAATGCAAATTTTTTATATTTTTGAACTCAAATGTTGGCCATAAATATGACTGCAATAATCATTTTGCATATTATCTTCTGAATGACAATACAATTGTTTTGCAACTTCTTCAATCCAATTTTTTTAATCAAGAAATTTAATATTTTTATTGCTAATTATAAAATTTTATTAATTTTAACTCATTAAATTGAAGCAAATTTTTGTCCTAATGTTTTTAGCTTAAACACATTAAATTTTTTATAGTTTGATCAGGAAATTTAAATGTAATATTGATTCTTTTTTAAACTGTTATATTTGCATTGGTTATTTTTTTTTATCCTTAATGATGAATTTTAATAATTGTTATTTGTGATGAAACAAAATGAGATTTTTAGATTTTGTATTATCTTGATTGTAAAATATATATCTGTGTTTATCTTATGTATGTTTTAGCACTCTTACATCGAATTTGTTACAATTTTCTGAAAAATGATTTCATATTGACGTAATTGAGTACTAAAAATAGAAAATGTGAAATATACCTACAAATCTAATTTTTTTTTTTTTTTTTTAAATTTTGAAGATAAAAATGTTTGAAGTGGCAATTTCTAGTTGCTATAATACAAAAGGGGGTCAAAAGATCTCGCTGGTTTAATGTGCCACACAAGATAAAAGCAAAGAGTTTTTGAAGTAAGCCATACAAATTATAAATTCTTTACATTAATGCGATATTTTTATGCAGTTAAAAAATATAAAAAATGATAATTAAAATATGTTTACCAATATTGCTATTGATTTAAACACTAAACAAAAAGATGCTATGAACCTACTTTTTAATGTGGTGACTTCAACCCAAAAGAAGAGGAATAGAAAGCTCATTTTTTAGAAACTTGTACAGTCATTTTTAAAAAAAATTTGAGGTAGCAACATTTATGTTGTTAAATCTTGAATTGTTTTACCAACCATGACGAATCAATAATTCAAACATATGTATGTAAGATATATTAATTAGGCATTTACATTTCTAAGTGTTGGGAGCGTATGGAAACTTAATTTTTCAAAAAATTATTTGTACCTTAAATATTTTTTATATTGCCTGTTAGAAAAATCTTTACTAACAATGATGCAATTGGCAGCTATCATACGAATACTCGTTTTTCTTTTTTAAAATTTTTTTTAGACTATCAGCATTTTCTATTTTTAGTTTTCACTTATGAATGTAATGTGTCAAAACTACTGTTAAATGTTACAATTGTTGCTAATAGCTTATTGATGTACTGTTTTCAAATTACTCATTTAAACCCCGATGTTTTTTTTTTTTTTTTTTTTCTTCTTAAGAGAAACAAATAATTTATTATAGATTGCATATGCTGAATACTGTACAGATGAGTGCTGGATGAGGCACAATTTTTAAAGGGTAAAATGTTTTGTAAGACATTTTTTATATATCTTCTGTTACAAAGAATGTATTTTGAAAGTGAGTTTATAGAACTTCTCATGTATTGTACAAATGAAACTTTTCTTTTTTCTTCGAATTGTGAAATCCATTTTTTTTATATGGCCTTCCCTACTTACATATGTTTATGTCTAGTTTTGTATAAAAATCTAAAGAAGAAAAAAAACAAGGAAAGAAATCACCATTTTTTCAAATAAAAGGATTTATCTCCTTTCTAAGTGTATGTTTTATAATTCTTTCTGAAAAATTATGATGGAATTTGCCTTGGTGTGTACTGATTACATTATATATGATGTTTAATTTTTTTCTATTCGAATGTCGGCTTTGTTCAATATTTTAACAGGGCTCCTATGGGTTAGGGAGAACAGATAAAACCAGTAATCGGGGAATTTTATTTTGACTATAAAAATCGGGGAAAGGGGATTTTTTCTGTGCAAAAACCTGGAAAATTTCTACAATCGTACTTGTAATATAACCAGTCTTAGAATTGTCAGTAACAGTAAACTGTTATTGAGATTTGATTTAATAAATTCTTAACATCTATTACAATTACTTGTTGTAACAATTCCACATCAAACATAATTCATAACTTTTTCTATTCATTGTCTATTATAGAACATTTAGTAAAATTTTATTAAAAAGTACACATCAAACATCATAATAAATTTTTTTTTATTAATTATCAACTATAGTGCATTTAGTAAAAATGTTGTAAAATCTTATAAAAAGATCTTTTTCATAAGATTTTACAATATTTCAGGCACTACAAGTTTTACTTTTAGATGTTTCTATATTTAAAAACGTAGAAACATAAAACAAAAACCATAAGCTATTCTTATCTTTCTCACAAGAAAAGTACCCTAAGTGAAACTCATGACTTAAGTTAGATATTGGCCATACAGACTCTGGTTATTGGTAAATTATCACTGGCTATTGGCCATGAGTTGGTTTTGAAGATAAATTGTTAGGATAATTTTTAAGTTATTTAAAATATATAACAAAATATCCTGGCTTGTTTTGGTCAATATACTGTCTTAAATATTCTCCACTGGCACACAATCGTGGATTAAACTCAGCCTGAACACAGAGATGATATAGAAGGTTTTCATGGCTTCCTCTCCATGTCACTCAAATGCAGATTAGTTGCACTCAAAACATCCTTGATAAAAGAAACTGAGTACAGTCTGTCTGTGGAAAGAACTCCCCTCGCCATTCTATTGAAGCAGTGGCAGTGACTATGGTTAGCAGGTTTAACTATTTCAAGTAGGGGTGTTTCGTCAATAGTTAGGGCAGGCTTTGGAATGATTCATGAATATTGTCCCAAGTTTTTTTTTTCTGCTAGGGGGGTTTATGTCTTTATAAAGAGATATTCCATTATGCCCAGCTAAATAACAGTAGGCGAAGGAGCCAAGACAGACTTCTACCTATTGGTGCTCCGGTCCTTGGACTAACTGAAGCTGCACATTCCCTCACTTCGTAATCCGCACCAAGTGCCAAATTCGTCAGGCTTCTCCTGAGAACCTCTTGGATTGCATGGGATTCTCTAAGGAGAATCTCTTTAGCAATCCTCTCCTAGTCGTCGACTTCCTTTCAGTTAACAAACTCGTGGATATTGTCTGACTCCTTCAGACAGTGAAGATAAGCAACAACATAAAGAGAGAAATATACAGTTCAAGATAAAACATTAAAATTACAAAGGATTATAAATCTATGATTTTCAAATGTTTGACAAATATGGTATAGCAGCAAGATCATTAACTATGCAGTTTTTGTATTTGATAACTCTCCCAAAATTCCAAGTCAACGCATGAAGTGCACGAGGTGAAGAAAAATCAAGCTTATGACCCTCTGTCCAGCAATCTTTTGTGATAGATGAATGGTGTAGTCTTGGACGCAGCTTTGAGCCTATGTACTCTTTTGTTATACCCTATGTTCGACAATCCACATTAGCATGAAATTTTGTAAATTCCACTGCTGTTAAAGCAATCAATAGGTTTGAGAAAGTAAGGAAATTGCCAGTCAGGATTGTCCTGCATAGGACAAACCAAAGAATATCAAGGCTACATCCAAGACTCCCCCTTTCATCTATCACTAAACATTGCTGAACAGATGGTCATAGGTTCGATTTTTCTTCACCCCATATCGTTCGCTAATGTACTTTATATCATCCAAAACGAAAATTCTATTGTTCATGATCTTGCTGCTGTACCATGTCTGTCAAACATTTGGAAATACATCAACTTTTAATTCTCGGACTTTTTAAGGATTTACCTTTATCTGTATATTTATCTTTTTAATATGACGTCATCTCAGTTAAATTAAATCGCCTGTTTTTATCTATCCCTGTCATTTATCCTACTGATGATTGTTGTTGTAGTTCATTTACGTCGCACTAGAGCTGCACAATGGGCTATTGGCGACGGTCTGGGAAACATCCCTGAAGATGATCCGAAGACATGCCATCACAATTTTGATCCTCTGCAGAGATGATGGCCTGCACGCGAAGTCGAGCATTTTACGGTAGAACAGTTTAACGAGGACCAATACCGCACACCCTCGGCCCCTACGCAGACTGATCCAGGTGGTCACCCACCCGCACACTGACAGTGATGCTTGACTTCAGTGATCTGCTGGGAACCGTGTCTTAAATGGTTGGATTTTTACCTCGCAAACCGGAAAGTGTCAATGATCATTTTCTTTCTTTTAAACATGGAAATGATAACGAATTATTAAAACAAAAATTATCTCTCGTATTTAATAGATTAACCCATAAAACCATTTTTTTTTTCTATTTTGATGCTTGGCATTTTTTAACGATTAAATAATTCTTATATTTTATTTGTGACTTACTGAGAAAGTTTAACTGTTTTGCGAAAATGTTTCCTCATAAAAATCAATGTCTGCACAATTTCTTTATCATCACATAAAATGTTTTTTTCTAAAATGCGTTTGTTATAATGCTATGACGAATCTTACGTAAGGGATTTTAAGGAGATGATTTATATGTTGGCAGTTTTAAATCATAATTTACTTAAAATAGTACTTAATGTATCCTTGAGAAATAACTAATACTAATTTTAAAATTTTTTTTTAGAATCTTTGTTTGGAAATTTATTAAGAGCAACTTAGTTTAAAAGTAAAAATTAACAATTAATTATAAGATATTCTGTAAGCTTTAAAATCATTGTTAAATACTAATAATATGAACTAGTAATTAAGACTGAGATACAAATATGAGTAGAGCTAATACATGGTGCTTAGCGTTTTTCGAATGTGCTTAAAGATGCTTATTTTCGTTTTTTAGGAGCCCTTAAAAGTGCTTTTTTTTTCATTAGGTGTTTTTAAATAGTGCCTTTTCGAAAATGAGTTTTTTTTTCTTTGCCATGTCGATTTTCACCAGATATTATGAAAAAGCATGTTTTCACATTGTTCTATTCAACGTTTTCACAATTCATTCAACCATAATCTGTTTCTGCGTCCCGTCGGTCCATAGCGTAGGAAAGCGCAGATTATTTTACATGTTTGATGAAATACTTAAGAGTCCACATGTGCATCTACTGAGCTGTGTTCGGTAAAATTCGTGCACTCTCATGTGCAACTCTACTGCTTTTTACAAGATATTCTCAATTTCAGGCTTCATTTTCCACCGTCTGATATCGGACCGAAAAACCTCTTCATCTTTTTATAATGTCTAATATAATTAAAAAAAAAGCTTCTTTTTCAGAAACTGATTATTTTATCATGATCATGTAGTCTTTGAAAATTATTTTGAATTTTGTTAAAATATATAGTGCTTAAAAATATTTTTTGAGTGCTTAAAAGGTGCTCATTTTTGTTGAAAGATTTGGTTACGCACCCTCTAATAATATCATATAGCACGTTTCTTGTGACTAATATTTTAAAAATAAGTTATTTTTATTTTCTATTGAATGATGTTTGAAAATTTTAAATAGAAACATGAAACTCAATTTTCGTTATTCAATTTCTAACCAATGCGCATCGAATTTGTACCCACGTTTGAAAGCACTGTTGTCATTACTGTCTGCTTTTAAATTTTTTCAATTCAAGAGCCAACATGGAAAGACATATCTCGTTAGGATTAAAATTATTAGACCATTAATGGAATTAAAATGCATATGTTATTGTTTTTAGTCGTTTATGAACAGTATTATAAGGATTAGAGCCTGATAATATCAGTGATTTTTATTAGCTTACAATCTAAAATTATTTTCCGGAGAGTTAATTGCACGTTCTTAATACTTTATTAGGTTAGCACAAGTCGTACTTTTACTGTCTATGCACCACACGGTTATTAAATCCATTATGACAAAGAGAGAACTGATCTTATGGATAAAATTTCAAGATAAGCAAATTGCTTTTCCCTGTGGAATTATCCCTTATCATCGACCGAGAGAAACCTTAAAACCCAGAATGGTTTTCTTTAAGGATAGTACTTCCAGCTAGAGATTGGCTAGCCCAAGTCAAAATTCTTGATGGTCCCATTAAAACATTTTAATGGTTTTTGTCGGTTTTAGGGCTATTCATGATGGTCCAACATAATTTGATGGTCACCATCATCAAACATTTTCCATTATACGTTCATGGTTTTTGATATGAAAACAAACTTCCATCATTCCATGATGGAAAATGCTACTTTAATACTATGATGGTTAATCATCAAGAAAAGTTTGATGAACCAACAATCCATGATGAGGACAACTATACATTTCCATGACGGTTTAATGGGAATTCTTGTTGGTTCTCAGGAACAAACCATCAAAACGAGTTTGATGTTCTTTTGTTGGACCATCATAAATCAGGGTGTTGGTTACCATCAAAAGTATAATGGTTTATGATGGTTACCTTCAAGATTATGTTGGTCCATCAAAAATTTTGACTTGGGAGGCCTTGGTTGGGAAACTGAGAATCTTATTAACCCACAATGCCCAACTGGTAAAAAAGAATATGTATTCTGAATTAAGCTGCTATTGGGGACAAAAAGGACTTTTACATTATTAATGTATATTATATTACACGTAATGCAAAACTTATAAAGAATCGGTTAATCCAGAAAACCCGGGTTAAATAGCATATAAATTTATAAAATAGCACTTTCAAGTTTTAATTTTTGAAATGATAGAACCTTGTCCTACGGTAAGTTGAACTATTTCATTACTTTCAATAACACCAGTGTTAAATCAAGGATAACAAAACAAATCAAGTGAACATATTTATTTTTTAACGAAGTGAAACAGTATAAAGACGACATTAATTGAAAACATAGAATAAAAATCAATAATATACCTCCATTCAAAACATCTCTTATAAATAATTCATTTGCACAAACATTAAACATAATATACATTGTCATTGCTGCAAAGACATGAGTAGCGCTTAAAATATGAATCCATCATTTAAGCACTTCACTCAATATAGAGGCACATTAATAGCTTTCGTTTTTTTTCTATGATTATATAACTCAGTTCTCAATTAACTTGTTCGAAAGAATATCCACTAAAACAGTTTTTAATTTTGATGCAACTGATTAACAAATAATTGACAATTAAATGCGTTATTGTCATAGATTATCAACATTTAAGTACATTATTCCTCTCGCAGCTGAATTTGGCTGAAAATGAACAAAATAAAAAGCAGTTTAGGCCATTCAGTCGTAGAGACAAATCGAGTCATGGCAAATTATTTTCCTGAATTATTAATTTATAAAGTTCTCAAGCTTTACAAATGTTTAACCTGGTCATTGCTTTTGATTTCAAAATTTGCTCAAAGAATTCTAGTAAATTGTTTTTGTAAAAAATAGACGGAGGTTTTAATGAAAGTTTTACGAGCAATAACATGATTAATAAACATTTAGATATATTTATAATATTTAAGTTCGTTTATTCGAGTTATTAGAATTTATTATTGAAACTATAATTATAATGCTGAGAGATAAGATGAAAACTAGACAAGATGTTTCGACACTAAGAATAAATAAAATGAACGAAAATGAGATAATAAGAAAAATGAAATTTTTAATTCGCTTCGTATGATTATATAATTCGTGAACTTAGGATTATAGATTTGTTAAAAACAGTTCCAACTTAAAGTGGTATCTGTTAAGAAATCTTTTGATTCTGTTTCAATACATTTTTCTTACAGAGGTTTTAATTTCAAGAATGCAATTAAGTACTGAGTTTTCCGTCCCGCAGAAAAATCTGTCACAATGCTCACAATGAACCAAAGAGAAAGCCATGTTTGAAACATATTGAATTTGTCCATGATTTGAGTTATGTATCCTTCGTATTGCTATAGAGTGTGAACTATAAGTGTTGAAATTTTTCATAGTCATTGGGATCATATCCGAATTTTCTGTTGTAATTGAAGTACGGCTCGTTAGTTAACACTCGTTCTGCCATTTCAGTTGCATCAGATGCAGGCATGACACCACCATATTCTTTAGGAAGAATGCTAGGATCAACGTGTTTGTGCAGTTCTGCCATGTCAGATGACATGATCAAGATCTGAAAATAAATAAATTGCTTTACATAAATTATTTTATTGAATTTATTTTATATTTATTGGGTTTAAGACTTAAAAGGCTTTTTCGTCCCGTGAAATAATAATTTTTTTTTTTTGCGAATATACAGGGTCTTTATAATTTAAGTTCCACTTTGAAATGGCTATAAAAATAAAACTACCCGACCAAATGTCATCAAACTTGGTAAATGTCTATAAGAGGTCATGGGATTTTAGTTCCCGCAAAAAAAAAAAAAAAAAGAAGTTCAAAAATTCACCACCAGCGGAGAATGGCGCTGTATGCAATAGTGTTAAACAAATGTGAAATATGCAAATTTGTTTTACACGTCTTTTACCGTAAATTTGCCTTAAACCTTGCGGCGTCATTGGACCTCGGCGTTTTCCTCTTACAGTACGTAACTTTTGTAAAGCCCTCCGTTCATTGCTGTCGCATTCATAGTAACATTTCGCGAGCAAAGCACAGTCTAGCATGGTAACAGACATTGTCGACTCAGAACACTGACAGCTCAGACAAGGCGCCTTACTTTTATAACTACAAAGTCACATGACGTTCACATTTGTTTAACACTGTATACAGCGCCATTCTCCGCTGGTGGTGAATTTTTGAACTTTTTTTTTTCGTTTTTTTTNCAGATGCAGGCATGACACCACCATATTCTTTAGGAAGAATGCTAGGATCAACGTGTTTGTGCAGTTCTGCCATGTCAGATGACATGATCAAGATCTGAAAATAAATAAATTGCTTTACATAAATTATTTTATTGAATTTATTTTATATTTATTGGGTTTAAGACTTCAAAGGCTTTTTCGTCACATGAAATAATATTTTTTTTTATAATATAATATAATATAATATTTTTTTTTTTGTAAGTTCATAATAGTTATTCATGTTTGTGAGATTAAGTTTTGTTAATCTCCAACCAGCAATCCCAATGCGGATAATTAAAGTGGCGCATCACCTAAGGAAAATTCCAATTTAAAAGAAGGAAAAAAAAATTAAAGCCACGGACGAACTTTAGCTTTATCCAACTATACAATGTTTTTTTTCAATTAGATTTCTATCTTGTTCTTCGTATGTTTGACAGTCAGAAATGAAATTTTACTTGGATCTAATTTTCTTTTAAAAGTCATAATCGTGTTTTATTTTTTATTTCTGGATTGATCCGAATAATGAAAATCTATTAATTGTTATTTATTTGATGCCTGAAATACATTAGGTTTAACATGTAGCATTAATTGAGAAAATAGTTTGCAGTCAAATTTACTTTTAGGGGTTCAGCGTATCTAAATGCGATGGTTTAGCCTTAAATGTGCAATTTTCGCTGTCCTGTAAAACACTTTTTGTGTTAGTTACCTATATTTATCCCAGGGTTATTAATTTTTCAAATGGTAAAATGTACACATCAAATTATTTGTTAAGTTCGCTTTCAAAAGTACGCTACAAACATTGAAAATTCGGATTTAGAATAATTAAATATTAAACTTTATTTAATTAAGTTAAAGAACAGTAAAAGTACACATCAAATTATGTGAAAGGATGTGTATTTGCTGTGTTGTGTAATAAGCTATTAGTTGATAATTTCGCATTAAAATCATTTTAATCTTAAAAATTATATTTTCATACTTAAATTTTATTATCATTTATTGAATTCCTTAACAAAATTCGAATAATCGGTGGTAATTTTTGCAGACTTTTGCAATTAAATGAAAGAAATTAGATTTTAAATAATCTAAAAAATATGTTATTCTTACCCTTTTCTTAAACTTTTCTTTCAATACGTGCTTGAAGAGGTTCCATGTTGGTTGTACAAAAGATGAACAATTTATGCAATAGGCAATTTTAAATCTTCCTGGGAAACGATCCTGAAATCAAAAGTGTCATTACATACTTGTTCTTAAGGAAAAGAAAATCACAAGAAATTTTGAGACATATAACAATGCTTAGCTATTTGATTTATTTAATTTAGTAGATATTATCAAATTGTAGAACTAATTGAATTTTATAATTTTTTTTAAATTTTTTTTTTTTTTTTAAAGCAGTAAAGAGTTTCGCGACAATTCTGATAAAGCTACGTGATTTGTTTTAATTTTACCAGTGAAACACGTCAAAAATTGGTACTAAAAGCTCAATAACTTCAAAAATAATTCGAGGTCGTAAAAAAATTAAACGTGTTACGCATCTACTGGCACAGAAGTAAAGGTAGTAAAACTACCTTATTATACTGTTTTACTCTTAAATTCTACTACCGCCTTAAAAAAGAAAACTCCCACTTTCACGTAAAATAATTAATGGCGGCGTCAATAATATTTTCATGTCTGAATGTTTCTTAACTCTTTCGCGCCGACTGTCACAATTAACTAACTAACTAATCAAGTTTTTCAGAGTACCTATATGGATATCTGCTCTTTCATCTAAATTGAAGAATATGTGGTGGAAGGGAAGGGAGGTACTTCGTTAACATTAAGTTAAATCTCAGAATGAAAAATAATTGATAAAATCAAGTCTGGGTCATACATAAAAATAAATCGCAAGATGATACATAATAAAGGGAACAAATTGAAGATAGAGATAAAGAAAAAATATTTACACTATTTACAAAAATTTAGTTATACTTTGAATTAACATTGATTATATATATGATTAAACTAACATTAATTAAAGTAAAAGCAAAGTAAGTATGTCAAATTTAGCAACGACTAAATTTAAGTTACCGTTTTTTATTTAATTACAATTTGATTCTGATTTTGCACGAATACTTTTCTGAATCATCTGACCCCAAGGGGTTAAGGTTAAGTATTCCTTTTAAAAGTATGCAAAATTTCAGTTACTCACTAGAAAGTTTTCGCATTGCGAAATTGAGTAGCATGGTAGACGAGCATCTTCTGAAACAGCCGTAAATGGCAACATTTTTAAAGCGATTTTTAACGTATTTACATAATTATAGAAAATCCATTGAATTTAAAATAGATAATTGAATCAAGATTGATTAAAGATAACCAGACAATCAAATTACAAATAAACATGTAAGGTTTGACTGAGTTAAATGAATAAAATAGCAACCAAACAATACAGAAAAAAAAATCAAAAGGAAAATTGAAAAAAATTTAATAGCTTGTTAGATATTCAGTTTTATAAATTTTTTTTAATATTTTTTTTAACAGCATCAAATTTACAATTAATTTAGTGTTAATGAAATCAGTTACAGATTTTGAATCTTACCTGCATGAAACTTGTAAGTAAATATATGTTCTTAGGTGCGCAAAATGTCATGAATTGCTTCAACGAAAATCCTTTGAAATCCCAAATTCCAATAAATCCATTAATTTGTGTTACAGGATTATCTAACACATACTCGCTCAGTAGGTTACCAACGGCTACAAAATCAGCATAGCTAACCTGATCTGTATTCCAGTTTTCTAAAAATCAAAAAAAAAAGAAAATTAGATGCTTTCTCTCATATGATATGGCATCATAAACTTCTCTTAGTTATTGGCAACACTATAGTTATTGCTCATTTTGTTACATATTACTCATTTTGTATACTTAAATGGAAAAGTAGTAAGAAAATTATTTTATTCCAGCTAATTTTTAGGAAGAACATTGTGGCTTACCTACCACTATGAATATTAAATACCAATTGTCGAGTATATAATACATGTTAATATTATACTTAAGGAGCCTTCTGCAGACCTGCCAACTTTTAATCCCTTCCACTATCATTTTCCCCAGTGGTATTAAAACTTCAATTTTAAGCGAACAAAAACATTGTATTTGAAATAAAATTTAGTTGGCAACCATGATAGTAACGCATATTAATATAAGCTTAATTTTTGNAAAAAATATATTGTAGCTCCACCCTAAATTTACTACCACTTTTTAAATTTTTCAAGGACCGCGGGAACCCTGATTTAGTTGGCAACCATGATAGTAACGCATATTAATATAAGCTTAATTTTTGTAAGAATAGTGGTGATCAAAGTCATTTAAAAATTAAATTTATAAAAAAAATAGTATATATTTACTACCACTTTAAATATGAAAATAAAATTTGACGGAAAATCCGAAAGAGTTGGCAGGTATGCATTTACCATAATGTAACTGCATACCTGCCAACTTTTACGCATTTGGCGTAAAATTTTATTTCTATCTTTAAAGTGGTAGTAAAATGTATGCTTTTATTACATTTATAAACTTAATTTTTAATCTTTTTGACCACCACTATTTTTAATATAATTAAGCATATATATCAATATGTAATACTGTCTTGGAAGTTGGTATAAACTTTTCCAAGGAAAGTTGGCAGGTATGTAGATGGGATAGGTACCCAACTCAAAAATCAAGACAAGGTTTCTTAATATGCAAATTTTACTATTAATTTGCAATCAATTCATTAAAACTTATGCAGAAAGTGGAGCAGTTGACGTCTCTGATTAGTAACGAATAGTCTATTAATCAAAATCAATTAAAGCTGGTTTTACTCCAGATTTGAACAATAGCTATAATTGAAACGGTTTAACACTTTCGCGCCAAATGTTATAGTAAGCATAAAACCGTAACAATCAGTGTAAAATGATATAACTGGTAACCAAAGTAATTCTTTAGCAATTTATTTGTGGGCGGGGTAATAATTGTTTGATTTATTTAATTCACCATTACTTAGTTCAAAATAAAATTAATTAGTTACACTTTGATTTAACATTGATTATATATATGATTAAACAAACAGTAATTAAAGTAAAGGCAAAGTAAGTCTGTCAAATTAGCAACGCCTACATTTAAGTTACCGTTCTTTATTTATTTATATTCTCATTTTGTGCGAATGCTTTTATGAATCACTCGTCCCCAAGGGATTAACTACCAGTTTTGTAATTTTTCTGTCAAACTTTCAAGCCTTAGTTTCACAGCAACTTTTTCAACTGTTCTACTAAAACAGCGGTTCCCAATTTTTTTCGACTTCCTTAACCCCTTGGGGACGGGTGATTCAGAAAAGCATTCGTGCAAAATCAGAATCAAGTTGTAATTAAATAAAAAACGGTAACTTAAATGTAGTCGTTGCTGATTTGACAGACTTACTTTGCTTTTACTTTAATTATTGTTAGTTTAAACATATATATAATCAATGTTAATTCAAAGCATAACTAAATAGTTTTATTTTGAACAAAGTAATGGTGAATTAAATAAATCAAACAATTATAACTCCGCCCACAAATAAACTGCTAAAGAAATACTTTGATTACCAGTTTTATATTTTTACCCTGATTGATACGGTCTTATGCTGTCACGTATTTGTGACAGTCGGCGCGAAAGGGTTAAATGATCATTCTTTTTTCGACCTAAAGACGAATTATCTTAAATTAGGTTTTATGTGGGACAGTTGAAGTTAAATCTAGTCTAGTTATAAATTTGTATTTGGTGTGCAAACATAAGCTGAAAAGAAATGAAAGACGAATTATGGTTTTCGTTGAAATTAAAACTAAAAAGGACTGCTATAAAGGTTGAAAATGGCTTTTAGTGAAACATATTTCTTTATTAACGAATTTAGTTATTTTATTTATGGTTTGAAAAAACCGCGAAGGGAAATACTAATGCAATATATTTAATAAATCATGTTCTTTTCATAGTTAATTCAATACATGGTCATTTGAGAAATTATGGACTTTTTTCTCCAAAAAAATTTAGATTTTTCTCACTCTTTGGATTTTTACTTGAACGTAAAGGCAAGCAAAATATTAAGTAATTTACAGATAATCTATTGGATCTAAATACAATTATAGGTTCTGAAAATGTTTTAAAAAACTGTTTAAAAAAGTCTTAACTTTCGGAACCCCTTCAAATTGTTCACGGAACCCTAGGGTTCCGAGGAATACCATTTGGAAACTGCTATTCTAGAGCATAGAATTTAGCTACTTACTGAATTTGATAACGAAAATGGCTCTTCCTTTATGATCTCTGTGAGGTAAATAGTTGAAAATGTTGGCCTTCAGAGCCTTTGCAACACCTGATGGGGATGGAAAACAATCCGAATATTTGGCACGGAATTTATAATGTTCATCGAGTGCTTTGAATGACTTCTGCACATCGAATTTGCGAACTCGCAAGAACCTTAGAAGATAGTTTTCATCTGTTCGAGCATTGAAATCTGTTTGATCTAAAAAAAAATTAAATGATTTTCAATAATAGCAATTATTCTAATAAAGAGCATTTAATATTAAAAATGAAGCTGAATATTAAAGAGTAAATAAATTGATATTTATACAATATAAAACTTTTACAAAATCAATGAAGATCAGCTCAATATTGGCAATTACCTCAATGAAGAGCATTTAATAGTAAAAGTAAAGCCAAAGAATGAAATATTTCAACTTCTTGATTGGTAATAAATTTATTGATTCAGAACAGATTTTTCGAATAATAAGTGTTAACACCACTAAAAGACTCTATATTTTAGCAATCGAATTATAAATAACCAAAAGATGAGCTTTATTCTTAATTAATTCGGATTTTGTACATTCTAATCAGTTTTTTGGAATTATATAGCTACTGATAGATCATTAATACAGTATGTAATTTTTTTTAAATAAACAGCATACTAGATATTAGCTCCTTAAAAGTGCTACTGCCTGAGGCCTTGATTCAACAGTTTCTTAATTAATTCAGATTTAATATATTCTATACTCATATCATTGTGATTAAATAATGATTTGAACTATGTTTAGCTGTGAATTCCAAGATTTGCAAATTCAATAAAGAAATATAACGCTTATTACCGGCTATTATACATACATAATTATTAACTCTTAATTTTTCTAGATTTGAGCTACTTCGCTGTTAGGATCGAAAGAAAAAAACTCGACATTCTAGGATTAATTAAACATTTCTGACATGGTGTGATGAATCATTAATACTATATATCAAGTTTTTTTTTTTAATAACCAGTATACCATATATTATTTCTTTAAGGAGTGCTAATGCCACAGTCCTTGATTCATCAGTTTCATGCAGTTATTAAAAACTTCAGCAGAATTAATTAGAAACTATGTGGATTAATTAAGAATTAATTAAAAACTATATGGATTAATTAAGAATTAATTAAAAACTATACTAAAATGGTATGATGAATCATTAATACTGTATATAAAGTTTTTTTTTAAAAATTAATAAACAGCATACCTGATATAAATTCTTTGAAGAGTGCTAATGCTACAGTCCTTGATTCATCAGTTTCATTTAATTCCTCCTCAGCTTTTCTCTTATCTTCCTCAGTTACTGTATCATCCAGCAAAGGACGATGAACTTTATTTCCAGATACAATGATCTTTGCGTTTTCCATTCCTGTTTTATTTATTTTCTCACCAATAATTATAGGTAACAATCAATGTTTTTTTCTTGTTTATATCGTTAACCTTTCGAGGCTTTGAAAGGGTTATCACAATGTTGGTTCAGATAGAAATTCTTATGAATCTGTAAATAAAAATGAAAACATTACATTTCGTTTTCAGTTAATAGGATGAAGAGAGCTCTTCCGAACTCAAACGTACCAATAGAGATGACAAAAATTCTGAGTAAAACTGAGATATAAAATATTGACTTTAGCTGGATTTTATTTGGGTTACTTAGCTTACTTCCTTATGTGATGTAACTCGAAACAATAGATTTATAAAAATTGTGGGAACAAGATACTGATTACAATAATCATTGTTAACGCAAGCATGCAATTTTATTGTTATTTTACAAAAAAAGTTCGAATCAAAATGTACAAAAGTATTATTATAAGAATAATTTATGTATAATATCGCTTTAAGAAAGAGAATAATAAACAACGTTACATAGTAAGTTGTTATAGATATATGAATCAGAGCTTGTATGAAATTAACTATTCAATTTATAGAATTAAGTTAATCAAACTAATTATTTTTTGAAATTTAAATTATTCTTAAAACTTTTTAAAAAAATTGTCTTAAATTTTTTTTTCATTTTATATAATACCCCGCATTCCTTTGATTTTAAAAGCAACTAATAAAGCAATTAAATAAACTAAATAATAAAGCTCTTCTTAATTTATTCTCACCTTGTTAAAAAATATTTTTTTGACTTAATATCACTATATTGCAAAATGCTTTTATAAAATTAATACTTCAAACTATTATAATATTCTAATAACTATAGTTTGAAAACGTAATAAACTCTCCGCATGAGTTGTAAAACAGGTACTTGTTTTAAGTCCAACCTTTCGCAAATTAAATTATTTAGGAAATAATATCATACATGTCATAAAATAACTTTATAAAAACGAAAAATAATGTTGAAACAAATGCAAAGACATTGTTTAAGTGTTATAAAAATAAATGCTGAAAAACTATGTTTGAAGAAACGGATTAGAAATAAGACTAATTAAAAGTTTACGTAATTAATACATCTTAACACGCATAAAGAATTTTTATGGAATACATTAATGAAGTGTTTAATGAATTTTTTATGCATTTTAATTGAAATTCTTAAGAGAGAAATACAAAGATATTATAATTTTAAAGCAAAATGCCTTAAATTAAATGAAAATTTTAAAACCTTTTAATTTCTTCTTTTATAAGAAAATATGAAATTTCTAATTAGGACATAACCATAAGAAATGAACAAATATGACACTAACATAACAGACCTAGTACGCATTTTGAAAAATATTTAATAGTGATGAACTATTAGTAACTAAATCTTTCAGAATTTTGGGTAATTTTGCCAACATTTTAAAGAGCTTCGCCACTAAAAGGTTGAAATAAAGTATCGTTGCATATAAACTTTTAAATCATTTATGCGCAGTGGTATGGAAAATAAGTTTAAATGAATAAAAAATAATGCATTAAAACATTAACTTAGCTACCACTAGAATAATTGTTCATGAAAACCGCAGAAAGTTGGCAGCCCAGACTTGATATATATATTGTATATAATCGTATTTAATAATTATAAATACCTTGACAGTTCAAATGTGATGTTTTCTATGTCTAAGAAAAGTCTAATATAAAGCCTTCTGTCAGAATGATTTTGCTCTCTCAAACTAAGAAGCTTATTAAGATGGAGTATTGACTTTTTTTTGTTCATTTAATTATTTTATTTATCATAAACCCTTTTTCCCTTTCGTTTGATGTGCTTTAGCTGTAGAAGACAGTTGTTTGCGTAGAAGGTCAGTGAAAGATATCAGAGACGATGCATTAAAAAAAATGATTAAAGGTCAGGATTTTGATTTTACACTTTCGAACTCTCTCTTATAAGGGCGTTCTTTAAGCGATTTTTTTTTTTAAATTTTTATATTTGAGCATTTTTTTTTATTATTTCGATTTTTTCTTATTTTGGGTTATTCATTCTAAATTAGTCATTCTGAAAATCATTCTAAATTAAATGAAATAGAAAAGAAATTTTATAATATTACAAAATGCATAGTATCTCAATTTTGTAAATTGTTTTACTCGAAAATTTTATCTCAATTTACTAAAAAATTTTATCTTGATTTTCCTCCTATTATTCGCATTTTCCCAATAACGTACCAGCCAAACTTTATACTTTCCGAGGAATTTTTTCCCCAGCTGTTAGTAAAATGAGAATTTAATTACGATTGAACGCAATTTTTTTAATATTTTCAAACTTTAATATGTTAATGTTCCTGATCTTTCAATTTGATACCTAAAGTTGCTTGATGGTACTAAAGTACAGCTATTATGAATTTATATATGTGTTTAATGATTTTATGTAGAGATGGACAAAATCATTCTAAATTAAATGAAATAGAAAAAAAAATTTAATTTTAAAAAGCTAAAATCTTAGGAAAAGTTCTGAAAAAATGGCAGTTTCGCTATTCCTTTCCGAAGCAGCGTAAATTCAACAGAAAAGACGAGAAAATTGGTTTCATAAAAAAATTGCATCGTATGGATTAATGCAACTAGATGTTAAATTAGGGGGGAAATAATAACTCAGATTTAAAAATTTTTAATAAAAAGAATTTTTTAACATTTTACGATTTTCCGGGTAAAATATAATTTTTTTTTAGAATTTTGTAAAAAAATGTTACAATAAGTAGTTTCAAATATATCAAATTTACTTCTGCTAATAAATAAATACGACGAAAAAATTTTGGTTTATAATCGTTAGAATACAACCATAAATTTTTAAGAAACTGCATGCATATAATATTTAACCTTTAAATTTATTGAAAAATCTAGTATTTATTGTACATCTAGTATTTGGGATAAAAACTTTTAACAGTATAAGTAAGAAATTTAATTAAAATTGCTAACTACAAAACTAATAAAAAAATAATCGAAATGGTTTTCAAACAGTAATAACATGCAAAAATACAAAACTTTAAAAAAAAGTGACAGCGCCTTCATGTACAAGTGAAACATTCCACCGTGCTGTAAAAAATTATCGAAATTGATAGTAAATATACTCAAATGGTAGAGAATTTTTTTAATACTATATTATCTCGAGTACTATACTATATACTATAAAATATATGCATAATACTATAAAATTCTCGTATAGATAGACTTTCTAATAAAAAAGTATGTTTTAGTGATTACAACTGTACAACAACACAGCGTTGATGCGTTAAATATCGACATTAATTTTTTGATTTAATTTTTGCAACAAAATTTTTGAAGTTTGAAAATCTTTGAGGCAGAAATTTTATTTAACATATTTTTTCTTATAATTTAAGTCGAAATAAGAGAAAAATATTATACTTAACATTTTAATAATATATGCTCATAAAATACTGCATGAATCATGGGTGTCTTTTTCTGCGTCAAAGGCAAAATCTTCCAAACAATGATTTTTCAAATTTGCCTTTACTTTTAGTATTTTAGATTTAAGAGAAACAGTTATTCATCTTTGAAATTTCTTTAATTTACAAAATAAATTATCTGTAACTATTTAAATATATGAATGAAGAGAAAAATTTTCAAATTCCATGCTTTGGATTTTATATTTTAGTACAAATCCAATTCTGATAAACTAACAAACTTTTTTAGTAACTATTAGACTTTTTTTTATAATTAAAAATACCGAAATATACATATAATTAGAGAAATAAAAAAATTAGGTGCATATACACTAATTTTAAGCGGAAAGATTTCCGTATAATGATCTGTGGCAATCGCCAAGTCTTGGTAACTTCCGGGCAGCAGTCCGCGAAAAACTTTAAAAAAAAAAAAATCACAGGAAGAACTCGAAAGTTAAAACTCGTAGCCATCTGCGGGCAAATATATATATATACACGTTTTTTTTTTCTTTAAATTTGCAAATTTGAAATCTATTTGTCACCTTGGCGATAATAGTTGGCATGACAGATCACGATTCGGATATATCCCCTAAATAAGGAGAAAGATAATTTGGGTAATTATATATTATGGACCTTAAGTAGTTTATTTAAAATATTCGATTACGAAGATTTTACCCTAGTAACAATTATAATATCGTTGAGGAAAAAATCATTTAAGCAAGCGATGTTTTACTTTTTTGCTGTGATATTTCATTTGATTTGATATACAAATATAATCAATTTAGTAGGAAAAAAATAAACAGGTGAGTGATTTGATAAGCATGGGGGAAAATGCATTGAATAAAAACATATATAGAGGATCACGTTGTTTCTTGCGTGTTTCATCAGATTATTATTATTTTTATTATTATTATTTTCATATTTATCACCTTCGGACTCTTGACCATCGAGAGAAATCAAAAGGGTTTGCGATCCAAGGTCGAAAATATTTCTTTCATGATATGTTTTTGACATAATGCCACTGAACTCTAAACGGTAGGCTATGTCACTTCTATTTAACTATAATTTGGTTTTTGTTTGAATCATAATTAATTCCTGATGAAACTGCTGCTGATATTCTGAAACGGCCTTCTTACATTGTTTCCTCAAATCTTTTTCAGTCTTGACTGTTAAATAAAGTATTTTAATAAAAATTAGGAACAAAATATTTTGAGTTGAATGTGATTTATGTTTTGCTGTTATATTTTCTTTAGCTATATCCTATAATTACGTACAGCTCCACAATGAGAAGGAGAATTACTATGTTTCATAAATTTTAAATTAATTAACTGTTTATGTATGTTTACAAAGGCAGGATTCCTTTTCAAAAAAAAATTAAAGGGTAGTGAGATTGCAGAAAAATTACATAGCTGTTAACTTATAACATTTTAACCCGAAAAGTTTAGTGTAGTTATAGCAAAGTGTAATTTTAATTTAATAATTGAGATTTAAAAATAATTGTGTTAACTAGATTAAGTATTAATTGTATCCATTACATCAATAATATATATTGTTCTTTACTTATCACTTAAGATTCTATAAAAGATATTACTTAAATAAAATCTATTTATTTATAATTTTAACACCGATAGCAGCCACCACAAAATCTGTTGAACGCAAAAAGTTTTTACTGCAACTACTCATAAAATCATGATGGATGGGACGAGGGCCGCTGAGCGGCCCAGGACCCAGCTGAGCTAACACGTTCACGCCGGTGTGACCCACCGGTGGGTCACGCTAGATTGTCTCATCGGGCGGCGCACCGGAGTAAAAACTGGTAACAAATAAATTTCCTTTTTCAGTTTTTTTCCGGAAATAATAAAAATCCATAACTACCAATTGTTTTTTACGGATGCAATTTTTATTCTGAATTGCTTCTTCGCCGTGATAAATTTCCTTACAGTGAATTGTTATTGTTGAGACCAGACTAACTCCTCCCGAATATTGAAATAGTTCTTCTACCAGTATCTTTTCTTTTCCGTCCCGCTTTCAGGCACAACACCCGGTTTGAACGTATTAAATAACGAAGAAGAAGGTATAAATTTTAAGAACTTATTAACATTAAAATGAAATTAAATATTTTTGTAAAATTGTAGTGGTATTTATTAAAAATTAGACTTGAAAAATAATACTACCATTTTTTTTCCCATTGTATCAAAACAGATTCCATCAAGTAAATTTAGAGAAAATAAAGGATTAAAATTATTTGTTCATATATATTTCATTAGTGCATTTTTGAAATCTGATTTAATCAGTAGCAAAAAAACAAACAAATGTAGCTTAGAATATCGATGCGTAAATTCTCACTTTAGTTTCGCATTTATTGCTTGCTTGAAAACATTCAAGATATGTTTAAATGATAGCTCTAAATTACTACTAATAAAAAATAATAGTTATGTATATGCTTTAAGAAATGAGAGTGTGCGATTGCGATATTCTTAACCAAAACTAAGATTTTTTAAAAATTAATTTCTTTTCAGCTTTTATTTTCTTATTAATATTGAATTCGCTAATATAATATCAATCGTAAATAAAAGTTCGAGCAATCAATGCATTTAATATATTGCAAAAGCGAAACAATAAACCAACAAAATAACCAAATATACTTGATAAGGAAATCTATATATTTCCTCTTACTTTAAGTCAAGAATTAAAGAACTTTATAGTCTTGAAATTATCTGCCATTTACGCATTTTTTTAGAATGTTCTGCAGTCAAGGATTCATTTTCTGAGCAAACTAAAATTTATCAAATGAAAGTGAAAAAAAAGTGATAAATGATTAATTCTTATTGTTTACGGAAAGCAAGAAATCCAAACACAAATCACGTAGCCGCAAGTTCTCCCTGTTTATTTTAAAAATTCATGTAGTGTGACCTTCGAAGAAAGTTCTAGATCGTTCCATTGATTAATTAAAAATCAAAATTATTCAGAAAAACTTGATTTAGGATATTATTATCGTAATAATGAGTTACATGTCACGTTTGTTTATTATTTCTAGTTACCATAATTTTCAATGTACTGTAAAGCCTATTATTTCACGTACCTGTTTTAATTTTTCAAAGTCTAAAGTAATTAAACCAAAACTATTTCAATCAGAGTGATTATCTATTAGTGAAAACAATTCAACTTTTAGGCTATTTAATGTTTGTCGATAATGAAGCAACTTTTATTTTTGTATTTTGCAAAATTTAAAATGGCTAATTAGTAACGAAATAGAGCAAGACATAAAAACTATTTCAATTTTAGTGATTATCTATTAGAGAAAACTATTTCAATTTCTGGCTATCGAATGTATATCGAGAATGAAGCAACTTTTATCTTTATATTTTGAAGAGATTAAAATGGCTAATCAATAACCAAATAGCGCAAGACATAAATACCCTTTCAATTTTAGTTATTATCTATTAGTGAAAACTATTTCGATTTTAGGCCATCGATTTCAGGTCGAGAATCAAACAATCTTTATATTTTGCGGAGTTTAAAATGGCTAATTAGTATCCAAATAGCTCAAGACATAAAAACTACTTAAATTTATTATTATTATTATTTTTTTTTACACTGGCAAAAATAAGAACACATTTTTTTCCTGCTCCTCTAAAAGGTAAAATATATGGGACTGAAGTACAAAAATGTTGAAGTTACCAAAAAAAAAAAGTTTAAAACTTAAGAATAGCCTTGATCTTAAATATCTGCTTATCAATTTTTTTCAAAGAAAAATTCTTTGATTGCTTTTAAACACAGGCACCGAAAAATCGTTTCAAAAAAACAAACAACACTAAAATATGTTCTTACCGCTGAAGATAAAAGCTAAGACGATAAAAGTTGTCAGTCAAAAGAAAATCCAACTATTCTTCCAGGTAACAAGCTATTTCACTTGACCAATGCTTCTTTGGTTGTTTAACCACAGAATGATGATTCTGGTCTTGAAACAGCACATTTTATAATAACTGAGAGAGGAGGAAACTTGACCTTCAAAACTAGATGTCCATCCCAATAAGTAAGGATGCAAAACAACGTGATCGGGTGACTCCTAAAAAACCAATTGAATCACTTTAACGTTCTTCCAATTTCCTTTTTCAAATCTATTTAATGTGCAAGATAGCATATCAATAGGAAATTATTTAATCATTAGGGGTTATACAAACTTTATATCATAATTATGGATACGTAAGAACAGAAGAACCCGAGGTAATTTATCTGACGGGATCTTTGTAGTAAAATTAATGATTTTGTTTAGTTAGTTCGGAAGAATTTGAATATTATGGATTTTTCTACAAGCAAACAACAAACTTAATGAGTTTTATATTCAACGAAAAACTTAGGCTTCCGTTCGAAAAACGTGAGCATTATTTTATTCACTTTTCTTTAAAAATTTCAGACTTGATTCAAAACTATTTGGAAAAGAAACTTATATTAAGGGGCAAATTTAAGTTAGAAAAACGGTTCTCAGTATATTCTCTGGTAAATAGTGTTTCATTTGAAGGTTTTATTTGAAAATAGAAGTAAACTATTATAATATTTAAATAGATAGGTAAATAAATATAATACGTTAAAGTAATAAAGAAGCATTAAAAAAGTTAGCAAATTTGAGGTCCTGCGTAGAGCGTTTTTTTCCTAGCTAACACGTGAATGTTAATCATTCGCATTCTTTTACTAAATACAAAATATCTAATAACACCACTCCAAATTTTAAAACTTTTATTGTATATACTATAAAACATGAAACAGAGATGCTTGCTCCGAACAGCAAATATATATTCTAAAGTGGTAGTTTGTTAACTGTGATTCTTGGTTTAATAAATTAAATTTAGTAGCTTTTTATCCACCACTATGTTTAAATAATGCGTAGGGTTATATTATTCAGCACTTTATGGTACTTGTGTCATGCTATACCTTCTATAAGCAAGCAAAAATAGACAAATAATTGCAAAATTTTCTTAGTAGCTATTACCGTTTTTTTAGTTATTTTTGCGTGTCCGGAGTAGTTGGCATCTCTGAAAAAGCCGCTTACGGCCCCAGGCGCCAAGATATATTTACATTGTCAAGTAATTTCGTCCGCTAAGCTAAAAATGTGAGAAGTGATAGAAAATCAATTAATTTTTAAGTTTTTAAATTATTCAATTCTAACTATTTTTTGGTGATAAGCCCCCCCTTTTCTTCCCATCTCCATTCCTCCTCATCATCGATTTATTACTACAGATGATTCGGTTAATGCCGCTTCGCGGCAGCGCACCGAGATTTATGTGATTTCTACCAATCCTAGCTACCATCATGACTTATACGAAAATTATTCATATTTTAACCCGTTTTGTCCCGAATTTATATATTGAAACGATACAAGAAGTGGTTTTACAGAAAAAGTGGTATAATATATTATCGAAATTAATTGGTTTTTCTACTGTCAGAGCATTCAAAAAGTCTTTGATAGATCGAAAAGTACTTGCTCCGTATAATTCTAGATTTAATCAGAAATAACTAAATCATTCTGGTATCTGAGAATCTTTTAATTCACCCAGATAAATGAAAATGCTGAAAAAAGTTTCCCACCACAATGAATGTCTTTAAAAAAAAAAGGAACTGTCCTAAATATATGACGCTGGGCGTTAACCGGTTAACAGAAAACATTCCTTAAGATCAATATCATTACTTGAGCAGTACACCACAGTATGCAATTCCAGCTGCCAACTGCCTTAATATCCTCCATATATTTATGCTATTAGTCACAGCTGCCCTAGGGAAAAATACAGATTTAGATATTTGGATTTCACCATAAACCAGATAGAGTCGAGTCTTTAAGTTCATATTTAATAGGAAACTGAAAGAATATACTAGAAAAAATTCGCGCCTTTTAATTTCATTTAATAGATTTTTTTCAAATATTTTTCTCGTATGTGGCATCCCATGTCCGTCAAACACTCTGTAGAGTGGAAGCAGCGGGCTCGAGCCCCGCAATATAACTGAAAGAAACATAATTGTAACCCGAGAAGTACCTTAGAGCTATCTGTCCATCAAGTTGACAACGACTTATATGTATTAAGTGAAATCATGCTCAAAGCTAAAAAGCATATGCCGACACAATTAACCCTTTGCACTCTCCGAGTACTTTTAAAAGCTGGTTGATCCTAATATCAGCACTATAGCATTTAAAATACACAATATAGTATTATCATAAAATTTCAAAATTCTTAAAAATTTACTATTTATAAGATATAAAATTTCTTAATTTTAAAGTGGTGACTGTTGATAGTGCCTCCGTGGGGACATTGGAGTGCAAAGAGTTAAAGAGCTAAATGTAAGAAGGTAAATAAAATTTTTAGGGGAGTTAATGAATCAGATAAAAAAACAGTAAGTGGTTGCATCAATATGGGTATGTTTAATGTAACATAACTGTTTTTGCCTTTACTTCAATCTTAACATAGCTACTCACATCAGTTTATAGTATGCGTGCATGATTTTAATTTCAAATTAGGCAGTGGTGAATGAAATAAAGTAAAGAATTATTAGTCCAGCCCAAAGGCGCCGGCAGAATAATATGAGAGGGGGTACAACCCTCTAACAAACTACCTTCCCCTCCCCCCGAAAAAAATTTAAATATTCTGCTATTACATTTTGTTTTGTTATTACATATACTTTCATCTGTTCATTTTTTCAAGATGCATTTCTTCATTGTTAGGAAGATATTTTAAAAAAAAGTACGAATTTCTTGTACTTGCAAATTTTGCCCAGAGGCGATCGCGCTGGCATAGCTACTGACTTTGAAACACAAATAACTACAAACAGTAGTTTCGTATACTAACGTGTTTGTGCACGCTTAACATTATTTATTGAGTTGATGAAGTTTTACAGTTGCGAGAAGTCAGCTTGTGTTATACACCTTTGTTAAACTGAATAACTAATAAAAAATGTAATATTATTTACATTTTATTAAATGAAATTTAAAAATATAGCTTAGATATCTGCCAATTTTGTGAATGCTCAGTGTGCATAAGAAAAGAATCAAAGATGACTCAGAATTCATTGAAAAAGTTAAAAACATATTTGGACCGCAAACAAGACGATTACAATTCTTGTTTGATTAAACAATTTTTAATTGTTATGTATCAATAATTACCTAATTATTTGTTTTTCCATAAAAATATGTTTAATAAAAAATTTTTATAACAAAATTCTTCTGTATCTCTTTAATTGTTTTTAAAAAAAAGCCAGGGGGGTGCAAGTGCCCCCCCCCCTTGCACCCCGCTGCCGGCGCCTTTGGTCCAGCCATTTATTTAATTGCTAATAAAATGGTTTGGATGCAACTTTTTTGTTTGTTCTGAAAATATAACTTACCTGGTTTTTCAATTAATATATTAAAATAATTTCATTTTTTAAAAAAACATTATTTGTTGCTCTTTTCAGTGGTTTAAGTTATTGAAGTAAGCAAAACTCATTTTTCATTGCTAATCCCATAAAAATAAAATGTATTTATCATCACTTCGCATCATGCTACGCATCATGCATGCTCGCGTCCAGCTCATAATAGTGAAAATTTACCAGTATCACATTATTTTCTACTGTACATATCCCTTTTGAGGGACCGTAATACACTTATTTCCGAAGTATCGGTATTAAAACTGCTTAGTAGTATTGGTGCTGTTTTAATAATCACCAAAGATATCGATACAATATTTTATACTTATATTAGAATATTCGGTACTTATTACATTAACTCTTCAACATTTGAGTATTGTGAAAAATACATTTGGCACTAACAGCTAACTAAAGCCGCGATTAAAAAAAAATTCTTATTAGTACTTGATAAGGATTTTAGAGCATGTCTGTCTGACCTTTAATTTACTGTTAAAATATTTATAAGTAACGGAGGAACAAAGTTCTTTTATTCTGATTCATTAAAAAATTAATTCATTATCTTTGCTACCACTGAAAAAAAATATTTCCTGAAACTACGGAAAAGAATTTTTATTGAAATCGCCAGTTATCGTCCGTAGTACTCAATAATTAAGCATCATAATGGCGATTTTCTCGGTTTCCCTAAACGAATTTTCTATTAATCTTTTCTCCATAAATCTTCTTTTCTTTTCTTTCAAATTTCGCTTTTTAGCACATTGCTAATTTTATTTTATTTCAATTAATGCGTGTTACCATTATTAATAAAACATTAGTGTCAATAATAATACTGCGATTTTTACGGTTCTCTTAAATGAAAGAGGATCTTCTCTCCATTATTTTTGTTTTTTAGTTCATAAGTTTTTTTCCCGTCAATTAACATATTACCAACATTATTTAAGCATCATTGTCGTAAATGGTAGTATTACGATTTTTTATTTTAGACAATCTTTACTCCATTACTTTTGTTTTCTAGCACATAGCGTATTTCTTTTATTTCAAAATGAATATATTACCTAAATTAATTAATAATAATATAGTGATTTTTTACGTTTTTCCTTAACGAATTAGTACCACACTCACATTAATTTTTCCTTTAAATATATAAATATTTTTTTCTATTCAATTACTGTTGATTTTAAATAAATATTTTTTTTCAGAAGCACGTTTTAAGGGAACTATTATTTATTAAAAAAAGTTGGTAGTATTAGGCAACTTTAGGAGTGTAAATTTGGTGTGGTAGACTACACGTGCTGTCACGCAATGTTGTTTATTGAATATAAATTCGCGATCGCAACGAACTATAGGGG